CTCTTGCAAGCCTGACGAGGAGGATGAGACTCTGAGACGAGTGCCAGGGCCTGGGCTGCTTTTATATACACACCAAGTCCAGCCCACACCTCTGATCTCTTACCCTGCGCCTTCTGGGGCATCAGCTTTCGCAAACACTTAGTTCTTCCTTTTGTAACGTGGCCACTTGCAGTTCAGCAATCAAGCAGGAAGAAGTCACGGACTACGGAGCTAGGGCACACAGTCTCAGGGAGGGAGCAGACGACGAACACCAAGGCCTAGTCCAGAGGCGGGTGGAAACCACCCGCATCGCCTAGCTCTGCCAGGATCCGGGGCCGCACTTGGAGGCAACATCGCTCTTCTCTGTGAAGACAGGGAAAATCAGGCCGTGGAGTCCACCTAGCGGTCCCTGGTCTCCCAGAGTGACGGGGAACTAGAAACGTGACCTGCTTTGAAGCGACCCACCTAGTAAACAAAGGGGGAAGGTGCCAGGCAGCGTAAACCTCACAGCCGCCGCCTCAGTCTCAGCCCGCCCGTATCCGGCGCCGCGCGAGGCATGGCGGGAGTCGCGCCGCCTGACGTCACTAAAGGGCGCGGGCGCTCGGGGTTGGCGTGGATTCCTGCTGCTGGGTTATGGGTCTCCGGCATCTTTTCCCCGCTTTCGTGGTCTCCCGCTGATCCCTCCGGTCCTGCCCCTCCAGAGCCGTGCTCGCTGGGAGCCTGCCGTTTCGGATCGTGGGAGGACGATGACAGGAATGCTCAGGAGGGAGAGGGAGCAAGGCAGGTACATCGCCGGCCCCCGACGCCGTGGCGGTCACGGCCAGGAGCCCGGTTGACCCCCTTCTGTGGCTCAGCAGCCCCAGACGAGCCCCTAACGCTGCAGGTTTCCTTCGTGCTGTTTGTCGCCGTTTGCCACGTAAGAGATTCGTTTCTTTTACCGTTTACATTGTGAGCTACAGGAGCACAGCCCTAGGATGAAACGTTAGTAGGCTTCATGTTAAAATTTGGTATGAGCAAGATTTATTATTCTTTTTAAAGTGTATATATTTCTTCCTGTCTCTTGAAGGCAGCGGAAGAAATTAATAGCATTGGTTGTAGAAAGGTGAGCTGAATGGCTAAAGAGGTTGAAATTCTCTCCAACATCCTTCAGTTTCATTGAGACATAAATAGTCTTCTAGGACTTTTTACGGAAGAGTCTGAAAACCTCTCTTACTTGATTTTATAAGTAAACAGTAACTTAGCAAAAGCCGCATAGTAGATCTATGATCTATGATAAGATAGCACAAATTTTCTTCCTTGCTCTTTGGGAGGGAGAGACCTTTTGTCCCCCATAGGTATCTTTCTCACTATATTAACTCCTTTTTGTTTTGACACAAACGTTTCTCTTGTCAGAGATGTATTTGAGTTATTAAATAAAATCTCAATTTTTTGTTGGTCTTACCTACTAGGCCAAGTTCTATCACTTTTTTGTGGTTGCTTTGTGTTTTTTTAAGTGTGAAACAACACTTATTCAAGTTAACTTTTTCATCTCAAGTGCCTTATGTGCCAGGAAAAGTTTATGTACGTAGGTGAACAGCAGCGGGGATAAAGGGCTCATGTTTGCTGGGTCATATGGTAGTTTTATTCCTGTTTTTTAAATGTTATCTCCATACTGTTCTCCACAGTGGCTATAACAATTTTCATTCCCATCAACTGTGTAAGAGGGTTCCCTTTTCTCCACATTCTCTCCAGTGTTTGTAGATTTTTTGATGACGGCCATTATAACTGCTGTGAGATGATACCTCACTGTAGCTTTGATTTTCATTTTCTTTAATGATGAGCATGTTGAGCCCCGTTGCATGTGTTTAAGGGCTCGTGTTTGAATTTAAAAACACCGCTACTCACTCTCTTAACCAGTTGATTAAATTTAATTTCACCAATAGTGGACCTATCTGACATTATACATAGCATCACCTGTGAAGTATTCTCACCAAAAATGTTTTGTTCAAAGTTAGCCTCTATGCCTGATTTCCAGCTTGCAGGAAATAAAGGAGATGAAGGGGCCTAGACACCATGATGAAGCCATCAGATTTCTAGAATGTGTGACACCCTAGTTTAATCTCTTCAAAAATTCAATGTGGGGGCAACCTTGATGGTCCAGCGCTTAAGACTGCACTTCCACTGGTTGGGGAAGTTCTGTATGCCATGAGGCATGACAAAAAAAAAAACAATCAATGTCACTTAAAAAAAAAAAACGGAAAGAAAAAGGAACACGAAGTAGGGAGAGATTTCAAGAGACTAGAGACAATGAAATCCAGTATGTGACTGGATCCTAGCTTGGAAAGATACAAAACACATTTTGGGGACAAATGGGGAACATCTGAATAAGTATTAAATACTAGATATGATAATGGTATACCTTAGTTACACAGTGATGTATATTAAGGGGTCAAGTGTTATAAAAGACTGAAATTTAATTTCAAATGTTCAGTAAGAAAAATTATACACATATTTAGTATATATGGCAATATATTAACTTTTGAAAAGTAGGTTTATTGTACTTCTGTTTCCACTGTTCTGTATTTCAAATTTTTCATAAGAAGTTGGGGAAAAGCATACCTCATTGCCATAAGTCATCCATAGATGAAGGGGAAAAGCCAGTTCATGGCAAGACAGGCCTTCCTTGCCCCTTCCAAGGAAACAAGAATTCCTGAGTCAGGAGTGTGATGGGAGAAGCTCCAGGTTAGCAAGTAGGCAGGCAGTCACTGCTCCTCTGCCCCTGTCTACAAGGCCCCTGTGTCTCCACTGGAAAGTTAATTTGGATTAGATCTAAAAAGTTCCTTCTAAAACTGTAGATATGAGCACATAGGTACAAAGAACAGAGTCGTGGTTACCAGAGAGGAAGGGACTGGGGGCAGGGGGGAAACACTAGGAAATACAAAAGTAGGAGTGTACACATGAAACTTGCAAACCAAGGTTACCTCAAAAAATAGTAAAATTGTAATTATCTATTGCTGCTAAACAAATCACTCCAAATCAGTGGCTTCAACTGCTATTTTATTATGTTTATAGATTGTGTGGGTCAGGAATTCAAAAAGGTCAGAGCAGGGACAGTTTGCTCCATAGCATCTGGGACCTCAGCTAGGACAGTTGGAAGGCTCGGGGTGACTTCATATCAGGGGCAGGAAGCATTTGGAGGCCTCTTCACTCACGAGTTTAGCAGGCAATGCTCGTACAGGTTGGCTTCTGGCCAGAACATAACATCTATTCATGGCCTATCCACCTGGCCATCTAGGTAACCTCAGACTTCTTGCATGGAGGCTTGTGACTGTAACGATGAGTATCCCAAGAGAACCAGGCAGAAGCTGTATAGCCTTTTATGACATAGCCTCGGAAGTCAGTGTCACTTCCATGGTGCCACCATCAGAGGCACGATCACGGACCTCACTTCTCAATGGCAGGAGCACCAGACCCAGAGTGTATGAGAAGAGCACATGGGTTGGGAGGTAATTTTTGAGCACGTTTTTGGAATGTATTCCAAATATATTTCTACAACACTATGCTGTTCCATAGCTGCTTGTCCCCAGCAGGCCCTCGGATTCTGCCCTTTCATCAAAGTGGTCTCCCCCGTCCCCAGCATTCAATGAAGAAACCCTGCACTCAGGCTGAGTGTGTGAGAAAATGGAAGCCTACAAACACAGCTTTAACATGAATAAATGTCTTTTGGAATTCAGGATGTGACTTGAGTCTTTCTTCCCAAGGTTTTAAATTAAAAAAAAAAAAAAAAAGTTCATTCCTTGACAAGTGTGTTCTGGCTTCAGTGATCAACTCCATGTGAAAAACTAAGGTATTAAGACTGGACATCTTTTCTAAGCCTCATTTAGGGACTTCTAGCTATTGACTGGTTATTACTTCCATGAATTGACATTGTCTCAGTTGGTTCTTATGCTCCAAACCAGTTCACCCTTTAGAATCCCTGTCTTCCATTAGCTTCACCACTGTTCCAGGCAATCAGGCTCAAAATGTTGCCAACCTGACCTTCAACACCCAGACCAAATCTATTTCAGAATGCCAGTTTTCTTACAATAGCATCTTAGGAACCTTTTTTTTTTCTTTCAAATATTTTGGCTGTACCCACAGTATGTGGGATCTTAGCTTACTGACCAGGGATCAAACCTGTGCCCCCTGCATTGGAAGTGGAGTCTTAATCACTGGACTGCCAGCAAAGTCCCTACAACAGCATCTTAAATCCCTACCCTTGTTATTTCTTCTTGGGGTTATATGACGCCCCAAGGGCCTTCCTTCCACGCTTCCTACCTTTACAGAATCCACCAGTTAAGCTACTCCCGTTGAACCATATCCCTTACATACATGGTGGTGGATCTGCAATCTTTGTCTTTCAGGCTTTCCCTAAAGCTGGTTCCTAGTGTATCCAGTACATTGTGCATTTCCATATTGACTGTCACACTCAAGCAAGTAAAATCTCTCCCATTGTCCTTGGGACAGATGATCACCTTTTGTCCTACATTCTAACCTAAAATGATAAAACTGAGTGGTTCAGGAGCTCAAAGGAGGGGGACAAACTGTGGGCTAAGACAACAGCCTCCAAATGGTTGAGCCTGTGGGCAGCTGGGAGGTGAAGGAGTGAGTGATCTATGTGAGGAAGATACCTACCAACTATTTTACCTTCCACCAGTGCCACCTGGGAGGCCTATTCATAGGCACAGTGGGGCAAACAGACTGTGGGTTAAGTGTGTTTTTTATGCTTTTGATAAAAGAGAATCACATCTAGAACTGGAAAGATTTCAATGAAAGACTGATGCATCAATTATCAAAATACAGATTCAAACATTTAATTTAAAAAACGGAACATATCTTACATAAGAAATGTTGTCCCTCTCTGGGCACTACAGAAGATGCACAGATCTTCCCACAGGTCAGAGAGGAAAAACTGTACAGACAATTTTCTTAAAAAACTGAGAGATAATTCAAAAAGTTTACAAAGAATCGGGAGGCAGAAAATGCTTCAAGAGGCTTGGTCCTCAGAAGTTGTTCTGGAATGCCGTGTGTCAATGTCATGTTCCTGGAGGAGGGAATAAGACGGAATGTTAGTATTTCAGTTCAAAACCTAAAATGTGAACTCTTTGTTTTGGACTTTGATGAGCGATTCTAATTGGGACACATAGGTAATCTCTGGCTTTAAGGTTACATCCAGCCCAAGGATCAAGTTTTCATGACCAGAATAGGGCTCTGACCACAACCCACCACCCACCATGATGAGTGGGGAGCAAACACAGTTGAAGGTACTGATGCAAACACCACAGCAGACTTCTTACCTTGGTCCTGGGGGCCTGACCCTGCCTCGTCAGCAGTGTAAGTACTGCTGGGCATTTACTTCGCCCCCTCTCCCGCATGTCAGTGCTGAGCAGGTTATCCACACCTTGCCTCTGAGGTGCCTTCCTGGCACTTATCTGAAGAGCACCGTAAATGCCATATATTCCTGCCTTGCCCACTGCATGGAGCTCAGACAGCAAGGACTGCGTTCACTGCCATAACCCTGACATCCAGCACCATGCTAGCACACGAGGCCTACAGTATGAATACCCAGCAGTGCCAGCGCCCACCAGCTCAGATCCAATTAGTCTTTCTCTTCAGCATCTAGAATCTGGGTGTGTATGTGTGTGAAAAATGGATTCTCTTCATACTGTTTTATAGCCCTTCCCCCCCCAATCCCACTGCTGTATCATGTCTTCCCAAGTGCTTGAACATCCTTCTAAACATTCTTAATCTTATGTATGCACCCTAGGTACTTAACTAGTTCCCTACTGATGGTTTTCTTCTATGAAAACAATACTTTGCTGAGCATTCTGACTGGTAAATCGACATGTATTCAGGATTATATTATTTCTTTATTTTTATTTTTTGGCTGTCTGGTGTGGCACTTGGGATGTTAGTTCCCTGACCAGGGATTGAACCTGTGCCCCCTGCAGTGGAAGTGTGGAGTCTTAACCACTGAACTTCCAGGGAAGTCCCAGGATTGTATTATTAAGACAAATTCTGAAGATTAAAATCGCTGGGTCAGAGGTATCCATGTATTTCAGGGCTTCTGAATATCCTAAAAAATATCTCCATAAAAATGGAACCAGCTTATTCTCCAATCAGTAGTATATAAATGAATATCCATTTACCAGCAGTGGTTGGGCATTTAATTTTAGAAATCCTGTCCAAGGACAGATAAGATGAAGGGCTGGCATAATAAATTTTAAGTCCTCAGTCCAGGGCAAGATGATTTCTGTCCTCATATCCCGCTGCTCTGTCCTTGGCCAAGTTCTCTTCTGCCACACAGGCATCACTGCTGTTCCTCAAACGAGCCAGGCAGAGTCCAGGCTTAGGGACTCTGCACCGGTCTTCTCTCTGCCCAGGACACTCATCTCCCAGCTCTCTCCATGGCCAGCCCCTGAGCACCTTCAAGTCCTGGCTCCCATGCCAGCTCTGGAGTGTGTGTGGCCCACCCTGACCACCCCTGAATCTTGCACATTCAGTACACCAATCCCTCTGACCCTGCTCTGTTTTTATACCACGTTTCATCTCCTGGCATCCTGTGTGATTTAATACTTAAGATACTATGTTGATTGTTTACTGTCTGTCTCCTCCAGCTAGAGGAGACATTCCATAAGCGCAGAAATCATCACCTGTTTTGTCCACCTAGTAGACAGTGAAATACTGACAGAATGAATGAATGGCATATAACATGAGAAGTCCAGTATATGGATGATATCCCCACTTGACCACTTGAGTGGGCCTTCTGGGCTCTGTACCTGGTTCAGCTTCTTGAACTCCACCACTTGGAAGAAGATGTGCTCAAGGATATGTTTGGCATCTTGCCGGTCCTTTGGGAGTTTATTGGTGACTCCGAGGATGTCGCCACACTTCCTGACGTAGAATTCCAGGTCTTCTTCAGTACCTGAGCACAGTTGGGGTGGTTAGATTCATCCTTGATTCTGCCCTGCCCCAAGTACAGACTTACTGTGGTCTGGATATCCCGGTAGGGTTTCTACATCTCTCAAGGTCACTCACCTCTCCCTTGGGTAATGTGACCAAAGGACTCAAACAGTGATATAGACTGTAGCGATCTCTAATGTGCTGTTTTTGTAAATTAGTAGGCCAGAAGTGTGACACTACTAGATAGAATAAAGCTGCACTGGTTCTGACTCACTATTCCCAGATCCGGCATTCCTACATTACAAAGAGGAGGAGCACCCAGCAGGAAATGAAATTACCATTCTCTGAATGCCACAGGGACCATTATGAGAAGGACATATGGATATTTTAAAGAGCATTTATTATAGCAATGTTACAGAAAAGGAATGAAAGAAAAAATCACCCATAATTCTCTGAAACAATTTCCTGCTCTATATCAAGAATGGATAGTCATTACTGCCCTTCTTACACTAGACTGTAACTTCTTTCTTTTTACCCTCTGACTTGCATTTTTAAAGTTATGGTAGAAATGATATCTCACTCTAATCCCCACCAATACTATCTAGGATAAATACTGCTATGTATGCCTGCATATCTACATGTGTAAAAAACAATCCCTACATGTGTAGGGATGAAACTACAATAGTTCTGTAAGTTGTCTTTATCATTTAATGGTGTAACATGGACATTCCATGTCAAAGCCTATGCTCATCTTTCAACAGTTTGTTTCATATTGTTTTTAAACCAGTCTTCCTACTGATAGGCTTAGACTGTTGTCAATTTTTTGAATGATACAATTAATAGCTCTACAGCTGTACCTTTTTTATTTTGCATTTCTACAAGAAATTCTGGAAGATAGACTGCTAGAATCAGAAATGCTGGGGCAAAGCATCTAATCCTTCACAGGTCCATTATTCCTACAGGGTAATTACTGGGTCTTACTAATATCTGATTGCGCAGCACCTACCACAATATCCGGAACGGAACAGAAATGCAATGTCTGACACTGAACTGTGTTCACTTCTGCATATTCCTCTCTCGTCTCTGAGCATATACAGATGTTTGCATAGTTGCAATCCGACCACAAGTACAGTTTTCTATTTTGCTTTCTTTGTTTAGGAATCTCCAGTTCACTCAGTGTCCCCCCCAACCCCGGGCTTTGTAAAGCTCTTTTATAATGACCATGTTTTATCCCACTGACTGAATACGACACAGTTTACTACCATTCCCCTGTGACTGAACACTAAGGCTATTCCCAACTGTATGTTACTTTTTAAATAAATAATGTAGTAGGCTCATCTGTATACCTTCATTTGTCTCCCTAGGGTAGAGTCCCAGGAGTGGACGGTTACTTTTGTCTCTGAGCACACGTGTGCAGGCCCACATGCTGTCCTGGAGGCAGGGCACGTCAGGAGCAGCCCTGGGCTGACAGCCGGAGCGCCACTCACGGAGCAGCTGTGAAGCCCGGGACCTCTCCTCACCCGTGGGTCAGGGTGGGCCCACTGGACTCTCCAGGGTCCCTTCCAGTATGAGGTCTCTGTAATTCTTTTGGACCTAACTGAATCTTCTTATTCAAGTGCTCCTGTGACCACTGGCCTAGATTTGCTATGTGGCAGCCAAGGTCAGGATTCATCCTGGGGTCACTCAACAGGTCAGAGATAAAGACTCACAGGAATTAAAGCTGAGATTCTGGCCTCTGCTTGGCACCGCCCTCTAACTCCCTGAGCTAACTGGCTCTTACCAGTCAACATCCTTTACATGAAATAAGCAAAACTGTCATTTTATATACTCCCATTCCTATTTTCTTCTCCATAAACAAACTAAACTTTCTCTCATGGCAAATCTCAGAAATTCACAATTTACTAAAACTCACAAAAGAAAACAAAAATTTGACCAAACTCACACTTATTGGTAATCTGAGCAAGCCGGGCCTTCTCAGAGGAGAATGTCTCATCTAAGTCGAATAGCTCCAGCGGAGGAGGTGGTAATTCCCTGAAACTAGGAGGGAAAACCTAAAAAGCAATGAGATCGTTTATGAAAGAGCATATCCAGAGCTGTAACTGACAGGAATGAGACAGAAGGAAAACAAGAGGATGAAACGCCCAGCGCCCATCACCCCTCAGCCCTAACCCATGAGGCCATAGCAAGCAAGATGGCAGCACACGAAGCAAGCCAGCAGAACCAGCTCCAACCACACCACCGAACTGACCGAGCTGGGGCCCCAGCGCCCATTAACCTGTCCAAGGACACAAAGCTTGGCGCTTCTCAGGCTTTTATTTGTGTTGAATTTTTGATTGTTTCTCATCTAATCATGACAGAAACTAGGGCAACGAATGTAGATTAATATAGAAAGTGCTGAACTTAAGAGCCAGAGTTCACAGGTATGAACCAGCAGTGTGCTGCTAAATGCTGAGCTATCACTTAAAACAAGAGGCCTGATCTGTAGCATTTGTCATTTTCTGTTCTATAAATACCTCCACCATGGCCAATTTTCAAGCTACCAAGCTGTAGCCAGTTAACTGCCTTGTAACATTCCAGAATATAGGAGGATAAAACACATTTTTTAAATCTTCATTTATTTATTTAGCTGCACTGGGTGTTAGTTGTCGGATCTTTATTTGCAGCATGTGGGATCTAGTTCCCTGACCAGGGATCAAACCTGGGCCCCCTGCATTGGGAGCATGGAGTCTTAGCCACTAGACCACCAGGGAAAAGTTCAGCATAAGACAGTTCCAAAGGCAAGTGGAGTTCATGTTGAACTGGAATGTTGAAAAATAACCTGTAGACACATGGTTGGCCCCTGGGCTATGAGAACTGTGCTGTGAATGTTTCTAGCACAAAGCTCTTCTCCTTTTCACCCAGGAATTCTCATATATGCCCTCAACCCAACAGGATGGGAAATGTTCAGCAGCCAAAGAGGTCCACACCCTAGATTCCTCAGTTGAGAACCACATCAAATGGAAGCACCTGTGGAATACTAACAGGCCTGGTCTCTGCACATGTAGAGCCAGACACTCGTGACCCCATGAGGAGGCCTGTTGCACACAAGGCCAGCTGCCAAGGGAAGGGCAGACATCGAGGCTCTGCAGTCAGATGCTCCACGCACACTTACTCACCGCTGGCTGAAGGGCTGGCAGCGGCGTCTCAAACTGAGGCTGGATGAGCTGGAGAGGTTCATGTTTCACGTTGAGCTGTTCATAAGCCCTGTGTAGAGAAGATAAAAATGTGGGAATCAAGATGAGACACCAAGGCAAAGCACGTCTAATTGATCACACGGTGCTCTTCTCCACTGAATCAGGCAGTGTAGCATCTTGGCAAAAAAAAATAAAATCACACAAAATGCGCTGTTACATGCAATGGAATGAGCCTTTCAGACATGTCCTCTATTGTAGTAGACAGTGCGACTTTATCGAGAATTGAAAGGGAAAGTTCTGTCAAGTTTCCTACCAGGCTTCTGAATAGGCTTCTAATTCTTACCCACCGGACACTGAATTCTGCAACTCGCTGTGCTTCCTTATTTGTTTCAACCATGAAGAGACAGGAGCCAGCGCTGAAGTCTGAAGAGAGCCGCAGGATATGCGCTTCTGTGTGCCCATTCACCCCATAAACGCTTCCTGAACACCTACTGTGTGCCGGCCGGCTGTACCCGCCCGGAGTCCAGCAGCGGGCAGAACAGAAGGTCGAGGCGCCTTCTGTTTACTCACGGCGCTGACCCAGCGGGAGAGGCACCCAGAAACAAAGCCGTGACGCCAGGGACTAATAAGCATCAGGAAGACAGGCGGCTCAGGAGAGAGGGACAGAGACGGGGGAGGGCGGAGTGCAGGCGGGGCCCGGGCGTGCAGCCACCCTCAGAGGCGTCCTGGGCAGAGGTCAGCGAGGAGAAGGGGAAAGGGGGCGAGACATTTTCAGAGAACAGCAGGGCAGCCAGTGGGGCTGCAGTGCAAGTAGGAGGAAGGGGTTTATGGAGTCACGTGCTGACCTTCCTCTGAGATCTTTTTTTTTTTTTTTTTTTACTGCACTTCCCCTTTCCCTCCCTTCTCTCGAACATTCAGTTGACCTTTTGCAGCGTGTACAGGCTGCCAACTGGCTGACCTCCTCTGGAAATGAGGCAAATTAAAATATACTCACCCAACTGAAACTGTATGCTCATGTGTAACCTTTCAAAATTCATCTAAACAAGCAAACGCCAACAAGTGTGGACAAAGTTCATGCCTGTTTCTCTGCACGGGTGCTTGCAGAAAGGACACCGATCTGTGACTGCAGAAAGGAGCTTAGCTGAGCTTACTGCTGTCACCTCCTCTACTAGTCCCGGGTGTTCGGGGAGCCTCTTTCCTAGCAGTGAGCAGAAGAGCCCCATGGAGAGAAGAGAAATAAGGATTCTCAAGAATCTACTGCACACCATGCACTTGCCTGACCCTGGGTGAGGCACTGATTTCACTGAATCCTCAAAAACAATCCTCGGCAGTGGGTGTAATCTCTTACTGGAAGAGAAGACAGAGGTACAGAGAAGAAGTAGCTTCCCAAGGTCACAAGATTAAGAAGCCTTGGAGGCAAGATTAGAACTCAGATAGGGCCAATCCCTGCTAATCAGAAGCCCCATGACTCAGTCTACCCAGAAGGCAAAATGAAAGGCAGTTCTAAGATAAAAGTCCTACTATCCACCCACAAAGAACCCCACTGCTACCAGTCCTCGCCTTGGTCATCCTAGCCATGACATTCTGTTTTCTGTCCCCAGACAGAGCTGACTACTAAAGCCCTGTATCACTAATAAAACAAGCTCTACTAAGTCTTCCCTTTCTCCACTAAGCTCACCACCTGCCCAAATCTTCCTCCTACAAGGAGCCAACATGTACCGGATGGGGGTGTGTGGTTGGTGGAGAAGCTCATCTTAAAACCAAGCCAAACCTAATTCAGGAAGATGATCAGGGACTTCCCTTGTGGTCCGGTGTCTGAGACTCCAAGCTCCCAATGCAGGGGGCCCATGTTCCATCCTGGTGACTGAACTAGATCCCACAGGTGCAACTAAAGATCTCGTGTGCCACAACTAAGACCTGGTACCACCAAATACATTTTTAAAAAAAGAGATGATCAATATGGGAAAAGGGGAAGAGTAAATGCCATCACTATACACAAATCTGTGAAATGGGGCTGCTCCATATTCCAGAATACTCTGGCCTGACATTTGGCATTGCATTTTCACCACCCTCGTCTCACTCCCCACCCCACCATGAACAGTGAGGGCAGGCAGGCCACACCGTCTCACATCTCACACCCCACAGGCATCAATAAAGACCAGAAGGACATCAACAGATGAAGAAGCTGTGATACATATATACAATGGAATACAACTCAGCCACAAAAAAGAACATATTTGAATCTGTTCTAATGAGGTGGACGAAACTAGAGCCTATTATACAGAGTGAAGTAAGTCAGAAACAGAAATAGAAGTATCGTATACTGACGCATATATATGGAATCTAAAGAGATGACACTGATGAATTTATTTTCAGGGCAGCAATGGAGAAACAGACAGAGTACAGACCTATGGACATGGTGGGAGGAGAGGAGGGAGAAGGGGAGATGTATGAACAGAGTAACAGACATTTACATGACCATATGCAAAACAGATAGCAATAGGAGTTTGCTCTATGACTCAGGGAACTCAAACAGGGGCTCTTGACAGTCTAGAAGCACAGGAGGGGGAGGGAGATGGGAGGGAGAGTACATGGGTGTGCCCACGTCTGATTCTTGTTGATGTATGACAGAAAACCACAAAATTCTCTAAAGCAATCATCCTTCAATTAAAAAAAAAAAAAGAATAATCTAAAAAAACAAGACCAGAAGGACAAATGAAGTCACCTCAGAGTAATACTTACAGTTGACATAAATATTTAACAACTAATGGAACTGTTACTCAAAAAGAGAAGCTGTATTCCAAAGCTGTTGGGTGTAAATGAAAATACCCATGAGCTCCACAGAGAAACCGGAAACCAGGAACGCCTCCCCTCTGCTGCGGTGTGAAAGACACACACGATGAAAAGAGCTGTCCAGGCCTCGGAAACACCCACCCCCCGACCCTGCAGACACTAAAACTGCAGACGGTTCCAGTGAATCCCTCATCCAATGCTGAGGAGTGGCTGTGATGGCCCAGCCCTCCCCGCATCAGGACAAAAGCAGCTCAAAATGGCAGAAGCTGGATGGACTGGAAGCAGCTAGTGAAGCAGGGTGACGAACTTTTCTTCTAAGAGAAGCCCTGACTGAGAAGGCAAACATTGGGGCACAAAACCAAGCAAGTAGAGAGCCAGATGTGCAGCCAGAATTTATGACCTGGCTGTCTGCTGCAGGCGGCGAGGGGTGCAGAGATGCCTGGGCAGCTCTGGGAACGTTGGTGCAGGGTTCTGTTGTTGCTGTTTTGGTTTTGGTCACACCACATGGCCTGTGAGATTTTAGTTCCCTGACCAGGGATTGAACCTGTGCCCTCTGCAGTGGAAGTGCAGTCTTAACCACTGGATGACTGTTTTGCTTTTTGAGAAACAATCTAGTCTCCTAACAAATCCCCAGATAATTTCTTCCCAGGTTCAGCATTAAGATTGGCTGGATTCAAATTCAGGCCCCACTGAAACCTAGCTGTATGACCTTAGGCAAGCCTCTTAGCTTCCCTGTGCCTCAGTGTCTCACACGTACAACAAGAAGAATGAACCACGTCCTGATTTTACGTGATAAGCAACGTACAGGGAAAACTTAACATGGTACTTGTTAAAAGTCAAGGCTAAATGCAGTTCAAACAGCAACTAGGGATAAACTGCCTTGCCTGGACACACCCTGCCTTTGCTCATAGTGACCTTCCTGCAGAAGGCTCTCTTCCAGCACCCCCAACCCTCTCCTGAAATCCTCTCACCCCGTAAAGTGCAGCATCCAGTAGAAGGCCAGGCAGACGCAGGTCACCAAGAAATGTTTTTGGAAATCATCAATGGCTGGCTCAAAGGGCCCCTCTTTCTTAAAGCCTTCCTGGCAACCCCAGTCAGAATGGACTTCTCTTGCCTCATTATGCCACGGCCTCTAGTTTTACATTTCATACTTTGCCTTAGATTGATAACCTTTCATCACAGCTTCTGTCCGTCCCCTCCATAAAACCCTACACTTTAGGTACAATGCTCAGCACAGTTGGAGCTCTAGGAGTACTTTGTGACCTTGTACATAAATACAGGGGACAGGACATTAAACAATCATCTACAGCTGTGTGTTCAGCCTTTGGTTTATTATTAAAGATGTATTAATAGATCCTGGGCCAGGCCCAAGATGCTCAAAAATGTTAGTCCCTGCCTCTGTCCTTAGGGATGCAACAGAGCAGGCAATGACACTGAAGCTCACTTGGGCCTAGCTTGAAATTCCTGCTCCCAATGTGGAAGAATCCTTCCCCAAGAAACCTCAGACTCCTTGACCAAAAATAAGGCAGGTAACTCAGAGGACCACTGAAAGCATTAAATGAAGGCACAACGCGGCGTGCTTACAGGGTGACTAACCATCTTGATTTACTGAGTGGGTCCGTGGGGCGTGGGGCTCTCTGTGCTAAGACCAGGAAAGTCTCGGGCAAACCAGGCCAAGCTGGTTCCTCTAAATGTCTGATACAGAGCCTGGAACACAGCAGAGGCTGATAACTGCGGGCAGTTTCCTCTGCATCAAGTCCCGCCCCCATCCCCCGGCTGTCCTGGTCAACCTCATCACAGATCTGAGAACACGTTTTGTCCGTCACACTTATTGTGACCCTATCTCCTGTCCCCAGGCTCGTGTCTGCAGACTGAACACTCAGATTGGAGTGCAGAGCAGTGGAGAGCCGCGGTACTGACTTGATGACCTTTGGGAGGGAGGTGGTATCCAGCTGGTAAAGGGACAGGTCGAAGAGGCTGGTGAAGTCCCGTGGGTTCTCATCGCCCTCCTGGAGACACACTCGCAGCCGCTCGGACAGGGCCGCTGTGTCGGGCAGCATCATGTAGTCGGAAATCTGAAAGTGACAAGACGGTTCCTTTCAGCAGAGCAGGGGCTAGGATTTACTGTCTGGTCTCCAACACCTCAGGTCTGAATCTGCAATATTTCTCTTCTCTTGCTAAGACATCTCACTGATTACGCTCACTGACAACCAAACCTTAAATATGCCAATTTCTGTGGAAAGAAGGACCAAGGTCACCTGAGTAAACCCCAGTGCTGGCGAAATCCATGGTGCAGGCTGGTGTGCACACAGCTGGACACAGCTGGAGAAATGCATAACCTCTGCTGATGGCCCTCCTTCTCCTTTTTGTGATCTTGAAGGCTCAGCCATCAACTCAATTCTCAAGTTCATTCCCTATTCCCATTCTCCGAGGCAGTTCTGTCTGCCACTTCAACCGACTAAAATGATTTTCCCTTTCTTAATTTTAGTTGGTGACCTTATTTTCTAGTTCAGTGAGAAAACAGAAGCAACCATAAAAGAAAATCCACAAGCTCCCATTTCAAAGTCTATCCTCTCTCCAGCCACCAGCATCCGGGCTGTATACTCTGCTTTCTCTCCTGTCCTATATATGAATCACGTGTGACCCCGGCACAGACAACCCCTTCCTGGACACTAGACCCTAATTCTTCTTGCCTAGCCGAGGACATGCCTGCAGCCCTGCTGAGAACCTTGAATGATGACACCGTGGTTTCAGTAAAAGACAAGGAAATCCTATGTCCATCAATAGGTGTACCACAGTCAGTACACCGCAGTACAAATAATGGACAATACAGCTTCCAAAAAACAATCAAAAGAAAGCTTTTTATGAACAATATGGAAAAATCTCCCAGACATGATATTTAAAAAGTGAGGTGCTAGGCAGTATATATACATACAATACATATAGCACCATCTGGGTAAAACAAGGGGGAAGGAGAGTATACACACACACACGTTTGCTTATCTCTGTATAAACTATCTCTGGAATAACATATGAGAAACTGCTAAGATTGGTGTCACTGGGGAGGAGAACCAGGCGGCTGGGCAAAGGCAGAAGGGAGAGCCTTCAGTGTGCCTGCTCTTGAATTCCAAACGATGGGAAGACATTACTTAGCCAAGCAATAAATTTAAGTTTAAATGAATGCATGCTGGCAGCCTGAAGTTTGTGTGTTCCTAATTTCCCTTTGAACTGCGTTTATCCTGGACTTCTAACAAGGCTAACTTGCTAACAGTTTTAAAAACTGATCTCTAAACTCACTGACAACAAACGGCTACACATTCTCCACCACCAGTGCTCGGGGAGATGCGGCTGAGCTTGATGACAGTGAGACTCTGGGTCAAACAGGCGCACTTTTTTCTACACCCCATGCATCATAAACTTCCCTGATCCTTAAACTTTTTAGACCAGAAACAAGGGGGAAGCATCAGTAACGCCCTTCCTAGCATGATCTGCTGATGCAGAGGCTTCAACCCTCTAACAGGGAAGAGACGACGGTGAGAGCAGGACACATATGAGCACAGGGCATGGGGATGAGTGCAGGCCGAGACATCCCAAAGGTCGCTTCAGTCCTGTCCGACTCTGCAACCCCATGGACTGTAGCCCACCAGGCTCCTCTGTCCATGGGATTCTCCAGGCAAGAATACTGGAGTAGGTTGCCATTCCCTTCTCCATGATATCTTCCTGACCCAGGAACAATGGCTCAGCCAGGGATTAATCTAAGTGGGAACCTTGAAGAATTTACTTACTTCCGTTTCCTCAGTGAGAAAACAGGAATGACAGAAACTGAGCAAGAGCAAGGTGGCCACACAGGACCGGAGCAGATGCAACACCTCTTAGCATTACTTCCCTTGACACACAACACTCTAATTAGGGTTGGTGGCTGCCAAACACACCATCCACTCAGAGGTGGGTCCTTTGAAACCTGAAAAGCCAATTCCTGGTTGTACCCCAATTCTTTGGTTTTGGGGCTTACATCACTTTTCAGGAGGAGTTTAAGCACAACAGCCCCACACTTCATGTTTCCATGTGAGGGCATGTTTTAGACGTGAGGCTCTCATGTTTCCGAACCTGATCAGCCCGAGGTTTCCCAGCCAAGTCAGTCCTCAGCCGAGGGCACAGGCCGTCTGTGGGCAGCCATTTCTGATGGTCTCTGGCCGCCTTGTGCTACCCATAGCCAAAAAATAATTTTCCTGACATGTCAGCAGTTAAGAAACACAGAGGTAAATGAAGGAGGAGTAGACTTTTGAGTCAGGAGTCCTGGGTTTGGTTCCCGGCTCTGTAACTGTTGGTACTTTGGGCATATTGCAGTCTTGCAGAATTTCAGTTTCATTAATAAAAAGAGAATAAAACCATCTACTTCCCAGAGCTGTAGTGAGGTTTAAATAGAATGATTTATGTGGAAGTATGTGATATAGAGGGCCTGGTATTAACATATAACAAATACAAGAGGTTTTTTAAAAAAGTCTTGATAGATGTGTAGCCCCTTTATACACTTTAACAAATTTATGTTGATTCACTTAAGCCTCATAATAACCCTATGAGACAGGTACTGGTAGCCCCAAAACTAATGAGAAAATGAATATGAAAAAAGGTCAGAGGTAACCTGCTTAAGGTTTCAAGGCTCGTGGTGGAGCGGGACCAAGAATGTAGTTACTGGTTCCCAGTCCAGTGCTGGTCTTTTATTTTTTAAAAAAATATTTCTTTACTTGGCTCTACTGGGTCTTAGTTGCCGCATGAGGAAACTTCAATTGCGCCAAGTGGGATCTAGTTCCCCGACCATGGACTGAACCCAGGTCCCCTGCAGTGGGAGCACAGTCTTCGCCACAGACCACCAGGGAAGTCCCTCCAGTGGCGGTCTTACCACTCTCCCACATCTGATGAAGCATTATCGTAATGCCTTTAGGATTGTTCTTCCTAAAGGCAACCAAATTGGAGTTTAAAACTTAAATTCTGAAGGTCTTTGTTTCTTTATGAAAAAGTACTTTATATCCTTCACAGTTTGGAAGACGTTATTTCTCTACAGATACTGATTCTGAATATTTCAGCCAGAGAGCATATGTTAAGTTCCAGTTATAACATATACAGAGAGAGGCTCCCACCCTGCTGAATTCTATGACTAACAATATAAGTTACTGATTTTTTTTTTACAGCATAGGCTTCATCTTGCCAAAAAGCATCACTGCTTGGTATCTTACAGATAAGGTAAGAGACAGCTACGTTTTTGGAACTGTTAGAAGTGGTGCTGAGAAGCTGGACCCATTTTTCATTTCAAAGTTTTTAAGTAATTCACAACCTTCTACCTACCTCTGGGTCCTCAGCATCAATCTGGTTTAGGTGGATGTCTTCTGTCGTGAGCCACCGGAAAACAACATCCTAAATTTAAAAAAAAATAAACACAGAATTACACACTGGGTATTTGAGAAAGCTGTAGGCAGGACTAGATAATTTAATCAAGAAAAATGATGACAGGAAAGAGACTATACAGCAGTGATTTGAAAAAGGGCAGTCACCCCTGTCTTGGTGAAATCATATAAAAAAAGTCTTTCTCACTCTAGTGCCATTTTTATTCTTAGAAATTTACCATTTATCTTAGGGCACTCAAGCCTTTAACCACAAGCCCAAATTTATTAAAATGTGTTCACAATTCTGAAACAATCCCCGTATAATGTGCTGATGACAGTCTGGACTTAAAATGTAGAATACAGCAAGATGCCCCCAGAATGTGACTAAAGACAATGGAACGTCACGTGGATTCTATAGAAACAGATCTTCAATCAATCTCAATACAACAACAATCCTTAAGGCTGAAGGAACATCTTTCATTAATGAGAAAGCTCAGAGGGACCTTCTCCCTCTGGTCACCAGCATCACGCCAAAGTCCATTTCTGGCCAGCACCCTGCTGTCCTTCCCAGGACATGCTCCCTTCACACCTGCCATGCCTTTCCCTCATTCCCTGCCTCGATCAGCAGTCAGTCCCATCACAGTCTCCTTGTGCTGGCCAGTCCCTCGCCCACTCACCCCTTCCCTGCCTTCATTCAGGTCCTGGTCCCTCCTTGCCTAGCTGAGCCAGCCAGCCTAACTGGCTATGTGTTTCCCTCTGTTCCCCCTTCCACACCCAAAGATCTGACAGCCCAAGGCTGCCGGACACTCTACAAGGGCTCGCCGTGGCTTTTCAAAGAGTTTGAGTTCCAAGGCTCTACATACGAGGCCCTGGCTGGGCTTGCTCCCCGCTGCTTCCCCAGGGAGGCTTCCAGCCGGGTGGCATGCTTGGAGACACTCACCACATCCCTCTGCACTGACCATTCGTCTCTCACGCTCTCTCAATGTCCTATATCCTTCTTCAGAGCAGAGACTATGCCTGACTCACCTCTGAGTCCTTAGTGCCTGGAATAGAATGGGCTCTGAAGAGCTGGTTTTAAATGAATAGATGAACTCAGCAGTACGTTTCTTAAATGACATGAAAATCATATACAATATTCATTAGTATGACAAAAGAAAAGAGCTTACCATGATTTTGCTGTTTTCTTCTTTATCCAAATATTGGTCACTGAACATGTGACATGAGCCAAGCACTGCCAGTTTCCCACCTTGGTTCTGTTGACGACAAAGCAGGGTCAGCGATTCAGATCCCCAAATGGACCACGTGCATCCTAGTCACCAAACATCATCACAATCATGTGAGCAAATGTCTTCTACATACTAACATGGGTCTATTCACATGGGCATTTTAATGGTTTAAAAATGTCAATTATGACAACAACTATATTCCAACCTGCCTCTCAATTTAGACACTTCTACACCCTTCTATTCAACTTTAACAGAAAGTAATGTAAAGTAAATTGGTTTGACAGAATTTTCCCATTGTTAGTGAAATTATAAATGAAAATCATAATCTTAAAGGGGAAAAAAAAAAAGACAAATCCAAAACCAATCTGTAAAGATTTAGACATTTCGAGTACAAAAAGTGTTTAAGAGACAGAAAACTAAGCCGCAAGCATGAAAAATTCACAAAAGAAATGACTAGCTAATAATAAAAAACTTTAAGATTAGTAATTAAAAAATAAAGTATTTTTCCCTGTCAGATTAATAAGCAAGAAAAAGTGACCATAAACTTGGCCAGCTTTCAGTGACAGTCTCTGACATGGTGCTGAAACTGCCAACAAAAGCAATAAAGCAGTATGCAATACACCAAACTCTGCACACCTTTACAGTAACAATCACAAAAGATCAGAAATAAATCCAAACACTCACCCAGAATACGGTTAAGAACAATGGAACTTCCCCCAGCTGTTAAATTATAGATTAGAAAGGGTTTTCAGTAACTTGGGAAAATGCTTCTGCCATAACATTAGGTTAAAAAAAAAGTATACCATCAGTTGTAGAGAGTTTAAAGCCTGTGAGACAAATAAACAAAAATGCAGCACAAGCAGAAGTAGGAGAAAATGACCACAATGTCCGCCTGGCCCGCCTCAGAACAGTGCAGAAGGCCGCATGTTTTCCCTCCATCTCTGTATTTTGTGGCTGCGCTGGGTCTTCCATGCAGCGCATGAGCTCTAGATTGGACGGGCTTCATTGCCCCATAGCATGTGAGATCTTAGTTCCCTCACCAGGGATCAAACCCACTTCCCTTCCACTGGAAGGCAGATTCTTAACCACTGAACCATGAGGGAAATCCTTCCATAGCTGTATTTTAAAATACCGAGTATATATTATTTTGTCATAAGAAAAAAAAGTACAGAATTAAAAATACAAAATGAAATCAGATTTTCTAGCAATGTCACATACAGGGAAGACACAGTTGTAATGGTACTGAAAAAGAATGACACCTAAGCCATAGATGTTGGGATACAAATATACAAATTCTGTAAATAAAATTTGCAAAACAAACTCTAAAAGGTCCCACATGAAAAGCAAATACTTCATAGGAAAAATAAATTATTTCTACACCATAACCACTGCAAACAGATCGGTTACTGAGAACAGGAAATTAACTGGGTGGAATTCTACAGAAAGAATGGGGAAATGACTAGATGAACTGGGTTGTGATTTGAATCCCCACAGGCTAAGTAAATACATGAAACTATTTACAGATTTATCTTTCCCTTAATATACAGCTGACCTTTGAAGGAACATGGGTTTCAACTGCATGTTTCACTTACAAGTGAACTTTTTCAACAGTAAATACTACTGTATAACACAGTCCATGGTCGGCTGAGTTCATAGAAGCAGACTGCACAGATGGAGGCCTGGCTCTATCACACACGATTTTCCATCATGCAGATGGTCGGCACCTCTAACCCCTACACTGTTCAAGGGTCGGCTGTATTTTCTTTTTCCTACTTCATTTATTTCAAATAGACTGTAGATTGTCCTTTAATTCTTTTATTCTATCCTGACAGATTATACCATTGTGTTCAGTGGCCTTTTCCAGCATCTGTCTATAACTTGTTCCAATTAAATAGGCATATGTTTAACTCAAGGACCATTGCTCCTTCAGTGTTAATGAGTCTGTACCAATAAACTGAAGACCTTGAAAGGCTCGTGATGAGCCCAGTGAAGGCAACGGCCCTGGGCAAGGAGGCAGAACCCTACAGTGCTGGCCTGACCCTGCTCATGGGACCAGGTGTAACTCTTCCCGGGGATCACTGCCTCATGTCACCGACAAGAGTGACAGGCAGCAACCTCTCTGAAAGACTGTGTTTACAAGGCAGGACTGAAAGCCTATTAAGAGGAGAAAATGGGCTTTAAATAGCTAGGCAATGAACAGATAATAATCTCATGAGTTCCAGAGGAAACGCCACACTTAGCACAGAATGGAATACCCACCAGATACTCCATAAAGTCCACTGATTAAGCCAGGTAACATCTTTGTGCCTGGTTAAAAAAAATCAAAGCTCTGGTATTACACACAATACCAGAGGCTCCTTAAGATGGTGTCTCATGACTTTTGTGCCTCTGAACAGACATTTCATGTAAACTGGTCATTTTCACATCTTGAATCATTTAATAACACTTTAATTCTACAACAGTATTTCTTTCTGATTAGACGAGACTAACTGCCATAATAGCTATACCAATTTTGTCTAAAATCATCTTTCAAGCACAGCATAGACATTTTACTTACTTCCTAATAAAATGATGTCAGAAATTTTAAGTATAAGAAGGAAAAGTAATACCTAGGTCCCATAAAGAAAAATAGGATCTTGCTGAACTAGAGACATGTGGGTCTCTGGAAAAACTGGGAGGTCACTGGTGAAATCCACATCTTGGTAGACAGATGAAGGTGGGTTCAACAGACATGAATTAAAAGGCAGTGGACGCATGGGGTGATGAGGCAGACGATGATGCCCTCTCGAGCCACCTGAACCGGTATCTTACAGGTACTCCAGGATGAGAACTGAACAACTAGTCTCCTGGAATGTTTTCCTGGAATGCACTAAAATACAAGCAGCACAATTCTGTGGTATAGTTTGCTAAATCAACCTTTCTCTAAATGGATTCTCTTACACTGAGGGTGAGGGCTGGCAGTCAGAGGCAGCTGTACTACAGGCAGTCTCATGCTGCACTGGATTTATAATAAGAGCTAGGTTTAGGTCTTGACTCCATCAGTGACCACTGTTTCCCCATAAGTAAAATGTAATTCATTGAAATTCTACTTCACAGGACTATTGTGAAAACCAATGAGAAAATATAGGCATTTCCTGGTGGACCAGTGGTTAGACTCCACACTTCTACTGCAGGGAACACGGGTTCAACCCCTGGTTGGGGAACTCAGATCCTGCATAGTGGTGCAGCCCTCCCCCGCTAAAAAAGAGACAATATATGAAACCCCTATAGAAACAGTAAAGTAGTTCTCACAATTTCAGTAATAAAAATTACATATCCACCCGTATCTAAGAAAGGCTTTACCTTCGAGTGATAGAAAGCCAGGATGGGCCTGTTAAGCGGGAAACAGACAGAGCCTGTGGACAGAACAGCCACTGCAGGTTTCGTGACACTCAGCGTGGCACCAAAAGGATAGACAAAGGTGAGAGCCCTGAAAGAAAGAAAAGAAACATTCAAGGTTTTTAATGAATAAAAAAGTTTTTGAGGATAATCTCAGTGTTTCCTGAGCAAGTTACAATCAAACAGAAAATCTTCTATAAGCTTTGGTTTGTTAACTCAAAATCACTATAACTCTAGCTCTAAGTTTAATGAAGCATTTTAAGAAATGTGAATATAAATGAAAAATGTACAATCGTATGTGTAAATGATTGTAACAGAAAGAAAGAAAGTAGTCCCTATGGAAGAAGTAAAAGAGGAGGCGGCTTCATCTAAGAACTGAACCAGAATCACACATGAGCCTGCTCGGGGGAACCACGTCTTGGACAGTTTTCTCCTCCTCATAAACCTGACTGGTGTTATCGCTAAGTACGAAGTCTGCCACTGGAAGGGTGTGGCGCGGCTGAGGGCTTATATGAATACAGGTGTATATTTATCCCACACTGGAGACGTCTACACAGACCAATCTTGGAGTGCCCCCTCTACTCCACACTGTTCTGGCAAAGACTGTGAGGACCCAGAGTGAATCACTAGTTGGGCAACGTACTCCTGGAAAAGGTGTGGGACTGAGCGGCTAAGGGTGGGGTGCACACCGGGGTGAGGCCAGGCCCTGCAGGAGGAGCTAGGGTTTCAGTGAAAGAGAAATGGAGGGGTTTCCCTGGTGGCCCAGTGGTTAAGATTCTGCGCTTCTAATTCAGAGGGTGCGGGTTCCATCCCTGGTTGGGGAACTAGGATCTTGCTTGCTAAGTGACCAAAAAAATAAAAGGAGCTTCGCAGCCACAAAAAAAAAAAAGAAAAAAGGAGCTCTCCAAAGTATTTGTTTGAAAGAATTGTTCTCAGAATGGAGAGAAACAGGAGTCTTAAAAGCAAAGCATAAAATTAGAAACTGGGGCAGGAGGTGGGAGGAACGGGCAGAGGGAATACCCAGGAAGAGTTCCCTATGAAGATTTTAATTTTTCTTTCTCTTAGACCATTCTTTTTAGCTTCAGACTCATTTTTTTAGCTTAAGTTTTCCATTATTACCTTCCTGTGTCAGTTTCCCCTGTCCCTTCAGTAAAGTCTCATCTACAGCTATGACTTCTAGGTCTCATCATGGCTGAAAAGAGGCACCTGACCCCCCTTGCCCATTCTCTTCCTTCCTTCCTTCTACTGGGATACCTAGCAGTATCCCAGTAAGGGGGCTGCAGCCCAGGATTTCCAGAGCAGGAGCAGAAGGAAGTGAGCAGCTGCCAAGGAGGAAGAAAAGGGATGTTATGTGGATGTCAGGGCCCATCCTTTCCCACAGTTTCCCAAGTGCACTCAAGGGAGATAATTCTTAAGAAAGCAGAGAATGGTCGGTTATAAGATGAAAACTGTCAAGCTATTTATACTCCATTTCTTTTATTATTACTAAGAAATCAATCAGACTGACGTTTTGATGGGACTTTAAGTGTCAAAGCTAAACACCCACCCCCAAAACAGGACTTCTCCTAACACGTGTGAATGAGTAAGATTAGCTGGGAAGGTATTCCTGGAAGAGGAAGCAGGTATGTAAAGGTCCGAAGGTGAGAGAGAGCTTAGCACACTTAAGGAATTCAAACAAAGTCAGTGTGGCTACAGCAGAGTTAGAGAAGGAAAAAAGACATGATAAAAAACACAGGGCTAAATGAGAGCCTGAGACTCCAACAGCTAAGAGATTTCAAAGCACGAAGCAGGGCTGTTTATCCAAACCTCAGAGCCTCTCAAGACACAGTTCTGCTTCTGAGATAACCCAGGAAACACCAACCTGCCATCTGCCCTTCAGTACAATGACTGAGTAAGTGAGAGTGTGACAGGAGGGAAGGTACAGTGCCTCATGGCTTACAAGCGCTCCCACAAGTATTGCCTCACTGGAGTTTCCCAGCAACTCTCTAAGATTCATATCATCCCCATTACACAGATACAGCAACTAAAGCTAAGAGTTACTTTGCCCTGGGCCACTCTGCAAGTAACGCATGAAATCGGGAACTTCTAAATCCTTCTAAATCCAAGTCCACAGTTCTTTCACTTCTTCACCAAGAATCAGATTGTGATTCTTGAATGTCCAAAAACGTTAACTTATATGTTGCTACATATTTTTACTCTTTATGACAACTGTGGTTTCATACTAATAAAGTTTTTTTACTTTAAGATTATAAAACATTCACTTAGAGTTTCTTTCAGTGCTGCTGTGGTCTGATTTTTAATATTTAAAAATTTAATCCATTTGAAATACATTTTGAGATATGGCATGAAAATAAAAATGTTTATGTTTTTCCAAGTGAAAAACATTTTAGCCAAAATTCTACCATTCATTCCCCAATAATCTGAAATGTCACTTTTACTATAAAATAACCCTTATCTTCCACATATTTTGGGTCTAATTTTTTATTTTTCACTAGTTTGGAATTAGTGTCAGAGTATTTTAGCTATTAGAGGTTTGTAATATGCATTAATAATATAAAGACATTCAACTTTTATGGGGCAAAATATCCCAAAGTAAAATGATAAACTGGGAAAAATACTTGCAACACATGGAGGTCTTTAAATGAATAAGATATACCATCAACAGAAAAACAGACCAAAAGCAGTGACTAGGAAATTCACAGGATATACACAATCAGTCAATAAACTTTAACAGCCATCCCAATCATAATAATCAAAGAACTACAACTGAAAATAAAGTGGTATCATTTTTCAATAGAATATTCTGTGCTGGCAAGAGAGGAAAGGGGCATGTTCATAGGAATCATAAACGTTACACATGCCTGGAGGGTGACTTTAATGCATCACACTTGGCAATGCATCAACTGGAAGATCTGTGACCCTGAAATTTAAATGCCAAGAATCTGGCCTACTAAGATACTAGCATAAGTGCTCAAAAACTGTACCTACAAAGATGTTCACTTTGTGCTTTGTTATTTATGACAATTAATATAAAACGGTGGAAGACAGGGAAGCCTGGCATGCTGCAGTCCATGGGGTCGCAAAGAGTCAGACACGACTTGGTGGCTGAACATCATCATCAAACTGTGTATAATAAAAATAAGGAAAAGAAGTTAAGAGTACAGGCCTCGGAGCAGACTGCCTAGCACCGAAACTCAGTTCTGACACTAGTTAAGTGAGCATGGGCAACTACACCCTCTGTTAATTCGTCAATAATCTTAGAGGCTGCTGTGAAGATTAACTGAAGTAATAATACATGCCATGCCTACAACATAGTAAGTGCTCATTAAATGTTAGGTGGTATTATTAATGCAAAATAAAATTACCTAAATGTTTAGTAAGAGGAGACTGGTTAGGTTAGCATACATCCAACTTAATCCAGTCATTATTAAAAGGATAAAGTGAAGTGAAGTGAAGTTGGCTCAGTCCTGTCAGTCTCTTTGTGACCCTGTGGATGGTAGCCTACCAGGCTCCTCCCTCCATGGGATTCTCCAGGCAAGAACACTGCAGTGGGTTGCCATTTCCTTCTCCAGGGGATCTTCCTGACCCAGGGATTGAACCCGGGTCTCCCGCATTGCAGGCAGACGCCTTAACCTCTAAGCCACCAGGGAAAGATAAAGTACCTATCCCTATTCTTATATATGAAAAAAAAAAAAGATTTTTAAATCTAAATGTTGTTTAGAAGGATTATCTTTGGGGAGAAGGACATGGATTAAGAGTGGACGACTTCTATTTTCTTCCTTTTGAACTAATCAAACTGGTTTTTTGATGAGAACTACTTTTGTAACCAAGAACGAAAACTTTTTCAGTTTGAAAAAGGAAACTCTTCAAATGACAACTCCGCCCTCCTCAGGTGGCCTCGGGGAACACACTCACTGGGCATTATTTCCACCGCTCTCCTCATCAAGGATCCCAGGCACGGCCTTCCCTGCAGCTCGGCTAATCTCCCTTGAAGAAAAACGAATTAAAATCCAGTAAACAACGACAACAAAATTTAGGGATTTCACACTCCATTCATTAACTGTCAGATACAAGGACTGTGCAGACTTGTTCAAAATATGGTTCTTAAAAAAATTAAAGGTACTCCTATACACTTCTATCTCTTCTGGGAAGTTTGCAAAAGTTAATATGAAAATGTAAGAGTTAGTTGCTCTTTCTTGAGTCCTGAGGATGGGGCTCAAATATGTGTTATACCCAAATTCTCGCCTTGTATTCTAGACTCTGGATCTTCAGACCCTACGTACCTGGCAAGCTGAAGTGTAGAATGAATCGTTCTGGATACAGGGACCAGAGGGTCCTTGATATTGCCCCGATACACTCAGTTCCTTTCTCAAAGCTCTTACGGTTTAGGATCCAATGGATGAGAAAAAACGAGTTTCACCTTTGGTTCCAGGGGTGTTTATGACCCAGGGCCTTCCATGCCCTCTGCCACAGCGACTAGTTCATGATGAGCCCGTGGTCTAGGTCAGCTCAAAGAAACCACACTTCAGGTCTACTTTTGCTGAGCAGGTTGGAACCAAGGCCTGAACTCTTGCCCTAACTCATGTAGCATGAAGATACCAATTTGGGAACTGTTAGAACGATTCAGTCCACACACACAGGACAGCAGAACCAAGAGAACTGCAGGGAAATGGGACTGGAGCCCTGATGACATCAGGAATCTTTCTGTCAGTCCATATCCAAAGCCTGTCCAACTTCTAGGCTTTTCAACTAAATGAATCAATAAAATCTCCCTGTTGCTTAATCCCATTTGAACAGGGTTTTCTGTTACTTTAAATTGAATATATTCTGTCAAAAGGTGATGTGAAGTCAGGTTTCAAAAGATGGGAGTAATATTATTTGATGGTTAAGAAGTGATATAATACAATAAACTATCATTTAATTAAATAAAACAAAAAGGCAAGAAAGGAAAAGGGCTGGAGAAAACAATGTGTGAGAAGACAGAGGGCAAGAGTCACGGAGGAAAGAGGAGAGTCCCGTTTTGATATGCTTACCTATTCAAGACTCCATTGGAAACTAGAGCTTCTTTAGGATGGAAATACTTATAATACACATTTCTAACCACAGCATCTTTAGGCAGAAAAGAGAAGAAGGTGCATCTTAGATGAGAAGTAAGTTTGATATTACAGATAGGTACAAATTTTGACCTGAAAGGAATCCTGGAACTGTATTCCAATTGCTCTCATTTCATACATGGAAGAAGCTAAGCACCAAAAAAGTGAGACTGCTGGGGAGGTCAGAATGCAGGACCAAGCACCCTCACAGCCCAGGGCTTTCTCCATTGTACTATTAGGCCCAGAGGACTACAATATAAATAATAAATAGGAAGTTACTGCCTCTAATAAAATAATAATAATAATTACCATTATTAACCATGATTCCATATTCTTCTAGGAGAAAGTTAATGTTGGTATCAAATCTGGATTCCCCACCCTCTCCTAGCATCACAAGGATGTCTCCACCACCTTCAAGGTATTTCTTTAGGACTTCAAACTACACAAAGAAAAAACAAAAACAATCTATAAATTTATGCTAAAGACCTTTGTCAAAACTACTGCGAATAAGATCTTAACTAGCTAAAAAAGAAACACTTCCAATCTGTAAAGGCACTTAAATATAACTTTATATTAAGAAAACATAAAATTTACTCTCTATGTATCAACAGGATGTCCATATTTGTCATTAGCATAAAGCTCCAAAATATTCAAACTGAAATGACATTTTCCCAGTTGACTATCTGGACAGCAAAAGTGGAAAACTACTAGCTAAAGGAAGATCACAAGTCACTGTCATATAGATCCCATATTATTTATCCATTCAACTCTTGGTGGACACCTGGGTTGCTTCTGCCTTTTGGCTGCTGGGAATGGTGCTCTCAGCGAACATGGGTGTACAAACACCTCTTTGAGATCCTGCTTTCAGTTCTCTGCATATATCCCAGAAGTGGGATTGCTGAATCATGGAATTGTCATTTTTGTAGGAACCACCATCCTGTTTTAAATAGTGGCTGCACCACTTCACCTCTCCACCAATGGTACATAAGGGGTCCGATTTCTTCACATCTTCACTTGTCATTTATGTTTGGGTTTCACATTTCTCATTCTTTGTCTAGCCATGAAACAGAGTTTAAAAATAGCTTAATTTTAAATAGAATTTCCTATTTTTAAAGCAAAAATATGGCAAAGAGGTATGACTAATACTGAACTCGCCTGCACTATGTGTCTGGCACTTTTCACGCAATAACTCAGCCACACCACAGCCATACCATACCAGAGCTGTTGTGCTGCATGACTCATCACAACAACTCCATGATGAAGACACAGATGAAGTGCCCACTTTGAGGCCTCATAGGTAAGTGGTGAAGAGGAATTTACATTCAAGATTTCAGAGCCCATTTTCCTAGCTATCTCACTACATGTCTTTATGAATATTTCTTACCTCAGCTGCGGTAAATTTTTCCCTCGGCCCAGCTGTAATCCATAGTTTCACCCCACTGAGCTTCTCAGGTGTGATTTCATCTTTTAAGCTAGAAATATGATTTTAAAAGCAAGCGTTAGGTCCATGATTTAAACCAATTTATGAGCTATTTTAGAGTCTAGACTGTATGGAATCAGAGGCTACAGAGGCCCAGACATGAAGGATTTAGAGGTACCTAGTCTAGCTTCTCTATCAAAAGTGAGACTCCTCTCTAATAGGCCTGTCCCAGAGTCATCAGCCTCTGTTCAAATATACCTATAAGACAAGATGTCCCAAGAGACCACACTAGAGCATAAAGAAGTCCTCCAACTACTAATTCAATCAGCTCTACCGTTAGCTCACATGACTACATATCCTTATCCATCAAGAAAAACCATACATACACACTCAAGAGATATTTTCAGTTTTTCCTTTCCCTAAACTGAAGTACTGACCTGAGTTAAAATACGGAGAAAGGCTTTAACCTCTGAAAAACTCATATATGTATAATTAGAATCATTTTTTGACTTGTAATTTGGGGGGTCAACTTAATAATATGCCAACTGACAATTTTCAAACAAGATGGTTTAATAATTTACTTCTGAACAATGTTTAGTGGAACCCCTCCCACCTCAACAACAAGCTGTTTTTATTGCTTAGAAGCAAAAACAGTATACTCAGTCACCTCTGAATTTTCCAATGACTCCGAAGCCTTTTCTGCATGGATTTATAGCCATTGCTGGTGGTAAAGACTTCCTTTTTGTATGCATTGAAAAGAATGGTGCTCCGAAGCTCTTTTTCCATGGTCACCTCCTTACGGGAAAAGAAGGAATCAGAAAAAGGGAAACAATAAACAATACTCCAAAAAGAAAGACCCTAAAAGGAATAAATAGTCTATTTCCTATAATTCTTTAAGAAAAGGAGCACAGCTGCAACTTACCTACAATTCCCAAAGGCTGAAAGTGAAATAAATAATCATGGCTGCAGAAACCCAAGGCAGACCCTGGGCTTCCTACCAGCTCACTCTCATGGCCCTGCTCTGCCATCACCCTGCCACATGGGGAACCATGTTTCCAACCTGATTCCTCACCCTTAACTACTCTTAAATGTGGGGTACAGTTTTCTAAATTCTTTTTACACATACAGTTGAAGTTTTATTTACAAAATAGGACCATATGCACTATTCTGCAACACACTTTTTTCATCTAACCTGTATCTTTCACATCTTTTCATGTCACTATATACCACTATTTTTTTAAGTGCTGCACAATATTCCATTTTATGGATGTACCAAAATGTATGTCATCAGTCATATACCAATGGACATCTGTTTTTTCCCCCAATTTTTTGCTAGTAAAACAGTACTACAAACATCATTGAACATGACATTTTGGCACACTTTGTAGATCTTCAGAATAAATCCCTGTTGAATGGCTAACTAAATTATTTCTAAATTGCCCTACAAAAAACTGTACGAATTTTTACTTTCACTAATACATTTCTGTTTCCACACCACTCTTTTTAACTTTTTCATCTTTGCAAATAAGATAGGCAAAAAAACCCTTATTGTTTTTATCTGCACTCTGAAATTATAAGAAGACCATCTTTCACTGGATATATTAGCCACTTGTATTTCTTGTTCACATACTCAGGTCATTTTTCTATTAGGCTTAATACTTTTTAGTTGATCATGAAACAAATATTTTCAGAAGTTTGTTTTTAGACTTAAGTAACTGTTAGTTTTTTTTGTTTCCTTTGGATGAATTTTGCAGGCTGTAGGGACAGTTTTACATTTAGTAGAATCAAAAGTATTAATGTTTTCCTTTTTGGCTTCTGAATTGCATGGTGTATTTAGAAGAGTTTTTGCCATGCTAAGGTTATAAATACATCTCACAATGCTTTCTTCTAGTATTTTTATGATGTTATAATTTTTAAGGTTTAAACTTTAGTCCACTTGCAATTTATTTTGGTGTTTAAAATTACTTTTGTTATTGTTTTAATTACTAGAAAGCTGCCTGACACTAATCTATGTTTTCAATGCTGATTTAAAATATCACCTTGCCTATATAGTAAATCCCTAAAAATTGAATTTTATTATATATTCTATATAATCTATCTGCCTGTAAGTTCCTGCTCAGTCTCACCTATTTTAATTCCTATAGGTATGTTATATTTGGTGTTGCTGATAAAAAGCTAGTCCCTCTATTACTCAGAATTTTTAGAATTTTCCTGGCTAGTCCCACATCTTCATTCTTCAAGCTGAACTTTAAAATGATTTTGACAGGCTAAAAAAAAAAAAAAAAATCCCCCCATGATCTTCTCATGTTCTATTTATCCACGCCCATGCTTATTTTCAGAGTGTACAAACAACATTATATCCTGCCTTCTGATTACCTTAGTGGTTGCATAGGTGCCACAATAAACCCAATATTCATAAGCATCTTTTCTATTTCTGGCCTACTGCAATTTACATATTTCTGTTTCTGTCACTATTTTTGTCCTAGAACAAATTCCTAAGCGCAGGATACCTAGGAAAAGGATGTTACATTACGGTTTCATGTCAATGCTCCTTCCCACTTAGGAGGATGATCAAAGACCTTCCAGCAGAAGGCGAGTCAGATTCGAGACCCATCTGAGGTCTGGGATCCGGGCCTCTATAGGCGCTCCTTGTTTACTTTACCTTAGTGGACCTCAGTTTTCCCTAGGATATGCGCAGCATCCTCGAGGACACCTAGCCGAGGCCCTCTCCAACTCCCAGGCCGCCTCAGCGCCCTGGCCGGCCCACCGCAGCAGGAATCCGCCTTACCTGAGGCCCGGTGACCACGGTCTGCAACTGCCGCCGCCCGGCACCGCGCAGCCAGATAACGGCCGCTTAGCAACGGGGGCTGGGAAACTGCCCGCTGGGAAGGCGGGGACCGGGTCGTGGTCCCACCTCCGTAGCGACGTGCCGACGACCTGGCGGAAGACGCCGCTAGGCCTAACTCTCTAGGAGGCGGAGTCCGGTGGGCAGGGGCGGGGCCTGTGCGGGACTGTACCATTATTTTGGATAGGGGGTAAATCCAGACAGAACGTGGAATAACTTTAGGCTAAAAACAAACTCATTGGATTTTCTCCATTAATGTCTAGTTTCATTAAGGGCTGATAGAAACGACTAAGATCATGGCATCTGGTTCCATCAAGATGGGCAAACAGTGGAAACAGTGACAGACTTTATTTTGGGGGGCTCCAAAATCACTGCAGATGGTGACTGCAGCCATGAAATTAAAAGACGCTTGCTCCTTGGAAGGAAAGTTATGACCAACCTAGACAGCATATTAAAAAGCAGAGACATCACTTTGCCAACAAAGGTCCGTCTAGTTTTTCCAGTAGTCATGTATGGATGTGAGAGTTGGACCATAAACGAAGCTGAGCGCCGAAGAATTGATGCTTTTGAACTGTGGTGCTGAAGAAGACTCTTGAGAGTCCCTTGGACTGCAAGGAGATCCAACCAGTCAATAAAGGAAATCAGTCCTGAATGTTCATTGGAAGGACTGATGCTGAAGCTGAAATTCCAATACGTTGGCCACAAGATGCGAATAACTAATTTGAAAAGACCCTGATGCTGGGAAAGATTGAAGGTTGGGAGGACAAGGGGACGACAGAGGATGAGATGGTTGGATGGCATCACTGACTCAGTGGACACGAGTTTGAGTAAACTCCGGGAGTTGGTGATGGACAGGGAGGCCTGGTGTGCTGCAGTCCATGGGGTTGCAAAGAGTCGGATACGACTGAGCGACTGAACTGAATTGAAAAATGAGACCCCACCCCCCCGCCAAGGGCCGAAACTTTGCTCCACCCGGAGGGACGAGTCTAATGGAGGCTTCCCGCGGGGAGTGCGGAATGCCGAGCCCGGATCCCAAGGGCGCAGGCGCAGAGCGGCGGCCCGCCGGAGGGAAGTTTGCGCCAGCGATCTTCAGTAACGGTACTAGGAACGCTGGACTGGAGGGTCGGCGCTGCGTTATGGGAGAGTTTCGGCCTCTTGGGAGACCAGAGAGGGCATCCAGTTGCAGGGCGGGCAGGTTTAGTGGTGAGAACGGGAATACGACTTACTCCTCTCTGTTTGATAAGCCCCGCATCTATGAGCGCCACAGTGCCAGGCTCAGGATGGGGCGGTGGTCCTTAGGGGACGTTGGACCTTGTCAATCCAACCAAAGAATAAAAAATATAGGGCTTCTCTAGTGACCCATTGGTTAAGAACTCTCCTTGCAAGGGAGGGGAGGCAGGTTTGATCCCTGGTAGGGGAGCTAAGCTCGCTCATGCCAGGCAGCAACTGAGCCCGCAAGCCGCAATGAAAGATCCCCACTGGCGGAAACGAAGACCCTTTTATTTTTTAAATAAAAAATATAGACCGTTTTGAGGGACCTGTGAGGGGCTGGAGCTGGGTAGACAGGCATCCTCGTTGAGCAGAGAAGAGAAAAAAGAATAGATCATTAAGGCCAGGGCTGGAGAAGGGCTTTTGAGCAGAAGAAATTGCGTTTGGAAAGAGCCATCGAAAAAACTAGCGGGCGGTAACTACAAACAGGCCACGCTTCTCTCCGGGTGGGGGGGAGCACTTAGTGGCTGCCCTGAGGGAGCATGGATCTGTGTGCAATGCACCTGTCTCTCTGGCTCAAACTGATGAACGCAGAGACTTAAAGATTTTTGTTACTGTCTTCAGCAGGTACAGAGGTTTAGGGTCTTAAAACACACACATACACACACACTGTCTCTTGTTGCCTTTTCACAGCTATTGTCCCTGCAAAGTTAAAGAGTAGAGAAGAGGGTGCTTCTGATTTCTCTTCCTGAGGATGCTGTCTTTTGGTACAAAATTCCGTAAATCCTGTTTGCAATCACTGTTTGCTAGAAAACCAAAAAAGTACCTGCCCAGAGAACTGTGCCCAGTACTGGAGACTGTAGAGAGAGCAAGGGCCTGAGAATCAGCTGCTACCAAGTCCCAATTCCTGGCTGTGCCTTGTACAGCTAGGTGACCTTGGGCAAGTCGCTTACTCTCTCTGAGTAAGTGTTTATCTGTAAAGTAAGATTAATAATTTCTAAATGCTGGTGTAATACATATGGTTGATAATGCATATGAAGCTCTAAGTGTGCTCAATAAACAGGTGTGAACAAATCTGATATTAAACATATTCATTTTTAATGAATAGTCATAATTTTTCATTTTTATTTTTTCTCCTGGTGAACATTTTGTCATTTTACAGTCTTAGAACAGATAGAACCTTTGCATGTTTCACAACTCATATCAAGTTGTGTACTTTGACAGTACTATTTCCATTTCTGATGCTTAGTGCTCTGGCTTTTTGCTCTGGGAAGTTGGGAGAATTTTGGCCTCTCATCACGTTCCACACTTGTCTCTTAGCAGACACTATTAAGATGGAAATCAAATCAGAATGTTCCTTTCAGAATTCTCAGCACATGTCAAAGAGTAACTAGTTTTCCTTGACCCATATTTGATCCCCAGTATGTCATTGTGGTGTCATCGATGTGTTTTCCATGGTCTTCCAGCTTCATCCTCCATAATTCCTGGGGCAGGGCGCTGGGCAAACAAAAATGTAAGGCAAAGAGTGGGACTGAGTTAAAAGGAAAAGCTGATAAAATCACTAGCACACATTGATGTTGAAAAGAATGAAAGTTCTCCTCTTGTCCCCAGCTAATAAGACCTCCCTGAAGTAGGTGATGAACTACAGTGAAAAGATTTCTTCACCGAAATAAGGCAGTATAAAATCCATCAGACAAGTGAGGGGTGTCCTGAACTCATGTGTGTTATATGCTCACATTTTGTCAGGTCAGAATTGCTTTTAGAAATGGCTAGTCACTAGGCCTGTACAGACCCTGCCTGGGCTTGTTATGGCCCTAGACTTGACAAGCATACAGAAGTATATGAGGTAGAGGTGTGTAAAAAGTGTTAGGTGCTCCATCCTGCCTGACTCTTTGCAACCCTATGGATTGTACCCGCACGGTTCCTCTGTCCATGGAATTCTCCAGGCAAAAATACTGCAGTGGGTAGCCATTCCCTTCTCCAGGGGATCTTCCCAACCCAGGGGTCAAACCCAGGTCTCCTCCATTGCAGGCAGATTCTTTTCCATCCAGAAAAGGGAGCAGAGAATTAACTTGGCAACCAGGCTCAGACCGTGAGCATCCAATTGAGCCTCCTCTTGGAAGACCCCATTTCCCATTACCTGGCTTGTTCCAGACAGTTCCTGGCTTGGCTCTGCTTAGAGATTTTGACAGTTACTCTGCTTGGACCTAACAGCCAGAGTGAGCAGCAGACCAGCACAGAGGTTACATGTGAGAGCCCCAGAGTCAGTTTATATGGCTCCAAGTCCCAACTCCGGCCCTTATTAGCTCTGTGACCTCTAGGAAAGGTACAGCTTCTCTGTGTTTCTTCATTGGTAAAAAGGAGATTCCTGCCTTAGGGTTGTTTGGATGAAAACTGTAACAGACATGAAAAAGTCTAGCACAGAAACTGGATCAGAGTAGGCAGATGTTCTGAAGCTGACTTTGACCAGTTAACTCTATGCACCACAGGACTTTTGCAGAAACTGACACCTGTGGCCAGCGATTTGTTTTGTAAGTGATACTGATACATCTCCTGTTAATAACATGCAGGTGACAAAAGACACACTAACACGTCTCTGGTCAAGACATGAAGCAGATGGGTGAAGCAAAAAAAGAAGTGATTAACAGAAGCTCTCCAGATCATTGGGAAAACTAGAGAGGGAGAATCCAGGATTCCGAGGCATGACACTGCAGCACGGATGTGATCTCTGGTGTTTGCCAATAAGCACCAGGATGTTATCTGTGTCATTCTTGGCAAGTGGCTTCTACTATTAGGATTATTATATTATCCTAAGATGGTACTGGAGCTCTAGCCACTGTTTCTAGGTCCTGGGCAGGAAAAAAAGGAGGAAAGAGCAAAAGATCTGGTGCTGCCAATAAGAGCATCGTTGCCACCTGTACACCAGGAACTCAGTTTTGTGGGTTTTGTTACCACAGCAACCACATGAAAGAGAGCGCCCAGTTCCTTCCTTGAGCCAAAAATCTGATAACAGGTGCATCCTGAGGCCACATGCCTGGCCCGAGCTCCAGGGTAGGCTGGGAAAGTTAGTGTTTGGCATTGTCAGCTACAGTTAAGTGGAGGTAGTGAACTGCCTCCCATCATGGCTCATAAAATAAGAGATTCCCTGACTATAGGCTGGGGTTCAGATGCCAGGCAGACAAACCTAATAAATGTGCAATACCACTCACCCAAAGAAAGACATCATTGACATAGGAAAAAAAGTGGATGTTGGGTGATACCTTACAGGCTTGTTACACCTTGGTCATTTTACACATTGAGATCAAAATTCAAACACCAAGAGATCCTCTGGTTAAAAGGTGCTCATTGCTTACCCAACATTTTCCCTTCTCCCTTAGTGTTAGAACCCCTGCGTTATTGTGGGGAGTCATGTGCCCAGTTAATTGGACATATATCCCATCCTCCAACGCAGGTAAGGTGGCTGGCTAGTGAGATGCAAGCAGAAGTCATTGGGTGGGGCTTCTTGGGAAGCTCTGTAAAGGTGCCCTTTTGCTCTTTCCTCCTTTTTTTCCTGCCCAGGACCCAGAAACAGTGGCTAGAGCTCCAGTACCATCTTAGGATAATATAATAATCCTAATAGTAGAAGCCACTTGCCAAGAATGACAGAGCAGAAATACAGAAAGCCTCTGATGACCTGTGGTACCAGCCCTGGATCACCTAACACCATCCTTCTTCCATGGGCAGGGGCAGGGAGGGAATATTATTTAAGCCATTGTTACTTTGGGCTTCTGTGACTAACAGTTGAAGGTAATTCCTTACAGATTTCAAGCTGGCTTTGGTGGTTTTACGGGAGCTTCTCTTCTAGCAATCCAAGATGGCATCATCCTCTGGCGCATAGGAGAATCCCAGGAAGGCACTGGAGGCCCCAGAGCTGCTCGCCATGGTGTCAGGAGTGCAGCCAATGGACTTTGACACAGCTTCCTGTGTGAACTCTGGGTCAAAGTGTTTCAAGTCAGCAGGTCCTGCCTGTGAATGTAAGCCAACGATGAGAAGGGAACACTGGGTCAGAGCTGCCAGAGGAGCCCAGAGCCCTGAGAGAGCTGTCAGATGTCCACTCTGAGTGCCCCAGGGGCATCACTTTTTCATGCATTTACACTAGTCATCATATTCCACAAGGTCCATTAACCATTTACCAATTCCTCTACCCGCCTGGCCCCCTGCCTGCTCTACATCAGCCCTCCATATGCTGCTGGTAGATCGTGACATGAAGAAAGTATGAATCAAGAACCTCAAAAATGTGCACAACAGATTCAGAGAACAAATGAGTGGTTACCAGAGGGGAGAGGGGCTGGAGGAAGGGCAGAACAGGTGAAGGGGATTAAGACGTACAAACCACTAGGTATAAAGTTACAAGGATGTAATGGACAGCACGGGGAACATAGTAGTTTTTAGTAACTCTGTATGGAGTATAATCTGTACAAATATTGAATTACTCCGTTGTACACTTGAAACTAAAATCATAGTGTAAGTCAACTAACTGTGGTGGTGCTGGTGGTTTCGTTGCCAAGTCGTGTCCGACTCTTGTGACCCCACGGACTGCAGCCCACCAGGCTCCTCTGTCCATGGGCTTCTCCAGACAAGAATCCTGGAGTGGGTTGCCATTTCCTTCTTCAGGGGATCTTCCCAACCCAGGAATCAAACCTGGGATTCCTGCATTGCAGGCAGATTCTTTACCGACCAAGCTATGAGGGAAGCCACAACTAACTATACCTCAACAATAAAAAATAAAATATATTCATATTCTTTGACTTGGTAATCCCCCATCTGGAATCCATCTTGAAATAATCAGAACTCTGGACAATTTGCAGCAACATTGATGGACCTAGAGATTGTCATACTGAGTGAAGTCAGACAGAAAGACAAATATATGGTATCGCTTCTATGTGGGATCTAAAGAAATGATAGAAATGAGCTTATTTACAAAACAGAAATAGACTCACAGATATAGAAAAGAAACTTCTGGTTGCCACGGGGAACAGGGGAGGGATAAATTAGGAGACTGGGATTGATATATACACACTATTTTATGAAAGAGTACTAGTAAGAACCTACTGTGTAGCCCAGGGAACTTTATTCGGTGCTCTGTCATTACTCTATGGGAATGGAGTCTGGAAGAGAGTGGATCTATGTATGTGTGACTGTTTCACTTTACAGCAGAAATTAGCCTAACGTTGTAAATCAACTATACGCCAATGAAAAATTTAATTAAAAAATAACTGGACAAAGACGTGAACTTAAAGACATTCATTAATCCATCATGATAAGAAAAAATGGTACTAACCTAAAGTGCACCATTAGGAACATGGTGGAATAAATTATGTTACCAACATAGGGTTGAAATATTATACAGCCACTTAAAGTCACAGTCTTATGTGACTTAGGAAAATGACGACATAGTTTTAGCAAAAAGAGGGAGGAGATGAGATCTATCTATATACATGAATTATGATCTATGTTGGGGGAGATGATATATGTGTCTGTGTATGAACTATGACCTATATAAAAAACAGAAAAAAAGATCTGAAAGAAACATGCCAGTGGTGCGTGCTTTCTCTTGGGTGGTGAGATAATACGCTTTTTCTCCTTGATGCTTTAAAATTATTTTATTTCTTGGTCATGCTGTGTAGCATGCAGGATCTTGAGTTCCCTGACCAGGGATCAGACCTGCTCCTGCTGCAGCGGAAGCTCTAAGTTTTAACCAGTAGACTGCAAGGAAGCCCCTCTCCATGATGGTTTAAATGTCTCTGTTTTACACATTTTCTACAATAAATACATGTCATTTTTATTACCAGGAAGAAAGCTAAACCTAGAAAAAAAAAATCTTTACAGGACTCGGCTCTGTCTGGGTGTGCTCCACGACACAGAACACTTTAAAGGCTGTGAAGTGCTTTGCGATGAGGGTTATTGGTATTGACAGTAAAGGGGAGGCAACCTGGCTCCTCTTACAGAGCTGAACTGGCAGTCAGGACTTCCAGGTTCCAGACTCAATTCTGCCTCTGCTTACAGGGTAGCTTTGAACAAATCACTGAGCTTCTTGGACCCTCGGTTCTCCCATCTCTAGGAAGAGGCCAGGCCAGGATACCCTCCCCAGGTACCCTCCAAGCTTCCACCAGTCCTGGGAACCCAGAAGCTAGAACATGATGGCCTCTTACCACATTTGGGTTGAAGGGTGGAGTCAGCCTCTTGTGGTACAAGTCATCCCAGTTTATGGGGCTGAAGAATACATGGCTCTTTATCTCAAGCTGTGGGAAGAAGATGATCAGTCGCAGTCTTCTCCATTGGCGCCCCCACCCCACCCCACATGCCTCGGAGCTCCAACTCTATCAGCGACCGGTTGTCTAGCCCTAAAATCTTTACTAGGAAGGTAACTTGCCATTATAGCTGGTTTCCTGGAACAAAGGAGTGTCTGCCATAAGACCTCTCCCCTTAGCCGTTATCTCAAACCCAGATCTTTTCCCTGTAACATCTGTTTATGCCACAGCTATTTATTGAGCACCTACCCTGTACTATATATACTATGCTGTGAGGTATGTCAGTGAAGAAGATGGCAGAACCTGCTATTGGAGGGTCCTGGGGAGTCTTACCCCACTCTCTCAGTGCATCCTGACTCTTCCAGAATTCTTTTTTTTTTTTTTAAGTCTTCATTGAATTTGTTACAATATTACTTCTGCTTTATGTTTTGGTTTTTTGGCTGCAAGGCATGTGGGATTTCAGCTCCCCAACCAGAGACTGAACCCACATTCCCTGCATTGGAAGAGGAAGTCCCAACCACTGGGCCACCAGGGAGATCCCTCTTCCAGAATTCTAGACAGACCAAATCAACTCACTAAGGAAGATTTGAGAAATAAAGCCCCAAGAAAAGCTGTAGTTTCACAAAGATCCAGAATTAAGGATTCAGCCTTGGGCATGATTCATTGCTTCTTTCCTAATCCAAACTAATGTTGACAAAAACTTCCACCTTTTCCAGCAAAGCCCTCCCTCTCTCTCTGTCTCTCAAAGAATGATTCTTAACTCTGTGTATCTGAACCCCCTAGGGAATTGTTAACAAGCCAGATTCAAACTATTTCCAGAATACCCACAAAACTGGTAACACTTGTTGCCTCCAAATTTAAAAAACTAGGTAGCTGAAGGGACTTTTTCTGAATATCCTTTGAATCTTGGTCTATAGGAAAGTATACCTTAGTTTAAAAAAATCACATATTTTTTTTACGATGCAAATTTCCTCTGGGAAGGAGGGACCTGTCTTCATGAAAGCCTTTTCTTTAAACTGTCCAGGGATGGGTAGGCAAAAGCCTTAAATGTTGTTAAACTTCACAGTATCTGGAATATAGGATAGTTTGTACACTCAAAAAGCACTTACTATGTGGCAGGCACTAGCCTAAGTGCTTATGTTATTTGACCTTCATAAGAGCTATGAACTGGGTGCTGTTATTACAGATGGGAAGAAACGTTACAGCAGGGGCTTCCCAGGGGCCTCAAACCGTAAAGAATCTGCCTGCCAAGAAGGAGACGTGGGAGATCCCCTGGAGAAGGGAATGGCAACCCACTCCAGTATTCTTGCTTGGGAAATTCCAGACAGAGGCGCCTGGCAGGCTACACTCTCTGGGGTCGCAAAAGACTTGAATGTGACTTAACAACTAAACAACAACAAAGAGAGGTTAAGCCATTTACCCTGCACCTAGTCATTGGTGGAGAAAGGATCTGAATCCAGGCAGTCTGTCTCACAGTTCATGGAATCTCAGCTTCTACGCTAAAAGAACAAACTTCTATGGAGAAAAGTACTATGGTCTTTTTATAAATCCAAATGATCTTTTGTTGAGTAGAGAATGTATGATTATTTTTTAAATTTTGCTTTAATTTTTTTTTTTTAAGCCATGAACTTGTTTGGAGAACAGACTGTGAATTCTTCATCTCTCTATTCAGATGTCTAGCCTAGGTCCTGGCAAGAGGAAGTGCTCAGATATTTGTGAAAAGCAATTTAGTTTGCTCTCTGTACAGAAGCCAGAGGAATTTGTCAAAACTTAACCTGGGGCCTCCACTCTCCTGCTCAGCATATACTAATTAATCAATCCTCTAATTATCTCTCTCCGCCTTGCTCCAACTTAGGACTTTTGCACACGCTGTGTCCAGTGTCTGGGATGCCTCCTCCCAGTTCTTTCCCATCCTTCAAATCTCTGCTCAATTGTCACCTCCTCACAGAGGCCTGCCCTGACCACGCCAGTGTGAATGTCCCCCATTATTGTCTATCTCTGCTCATTGTTCATGTCTTTCTGAAACAGGCTGGAACCTGGGACCCTTCACCGGAGTGTGTGCACTTGCACTTAGACAAACACCCAGAGAAATGTCTCATCCAGCAACAGAATACAAAGAAACTATAAGGGACGAAAAAGAACTGCACCCATGCGCAGTGGGGACAAATTATGAGCTGTAAGATACAAAAAGACCAAAAACCAACTGCCCCCTCTGGGATGCTGGAAGAAAAAGCAGGGTACTGTGCGTGAACCCTGCACACAATACCGCCAAGGGGGTGGGCAGACCACCTAAGCCACCTCTCCTGCCTGACCCCAGATCTGCCCTTACCCTCACCCCATATAATGAATCAGTCTGCCCTCCTTGGACAGCCAACAAGGGCACCTATTACTTATTTCTGCTCCCTCTTCCTACCTCACAAGTCCCAATAAAGCCTTGCCTGAATTCCCATCTGGCCTCAGCATAGTCACACTCTGTAATAATTTATGTTTGTTTGTCTGCCTTTCCCTCATAAACTTAAGGGCAGAGACCCAATCTAACAAGTCCCTAGCATTTAACTCAAAGTCCAGCACATAGTAAGTGCTCCATAAATATTGGTTGACTAGAAGTGTTAGATTGAAAGAAATAAACAGCAGCAGCTGTGAATTAGCAGTGCCTGGCTCTAGGAAACAGCTGGAAGCGTGACTGCTTCTGGGCTGCCTCTGCAGGAGGCTGAGAGCCCAGCGCCCCACTGTCAGGGCACCTACAAAGTCTGTTTTGGAGCCCAGCCGCTGCCTCTGGTCTTTGTGGAGCAGGGCTTGCAGGAGGTCGCAGGCGGCCACCGTCCGGCCCCCAGGAATCCGTAGCGGCTGGTGCAGAATGTTCTCATACATCTGTGACACGTCTTGGCTGTAGAAGGGCGGCTGGTGAGAGACAGGCAGAGAGATGGGAGGATCATCCATGCTAAAGTGGGCACAGTTCTCAGAGACACTTGGAGCAAAGCGGGGGAGCAGCTGGGAGGATTCAGCCAGACCTGTGTCTTGTGCGATGGCTCACGCGGCAGACTGGAGACAGACAGAGACCTCTGGGCCTCCAGCACAGTGGAGAGGCTGCTGGGAAGGCCGAGAAGTCTCTCCACTCCAGCATGAGGCTTGTGGACCTCTCCAGGTGCCCCCTCTATCCCACGTCTCTTAATCAAGCTTGTGTACCAACTTAGCACTTTGCAAAGTTAACAGTTTCCCATCATCACTTTATTCCAGCCTCATGATGGTTATGAGACATGTTGTCATTTTTCAGACGAGAAGCGCAGGCAGTCTAAGATTGGATCCAGGAGCTAGTTCTACCACCTCCCAGGACTGTGACCTTTTTGAGTCTCAGTTTCCCTCTTGGTAAAATAAGAACAACCCCATTTCCTGCAGTGCCCGCATCCAAAGGCTGTTTTGAGGCACCAAAGGAGTAACACATGAGATAATATATGATAAAGTGTGGAACTGACTTTATTGAAAAAAATATACTTTATCCTTGTATCCATGTTTGCATCACCCTTTCTGAGCTTGTAGAGAAGAGGTGGCTCATTCAATTCCTTGAGGAGCCTGAGGAGGCCACACAAGGAAGAGATCCACTCCCCATCTCTTCCAGAATCAGCTCTACCCCACTCACCAGGCCGTGTAGCATCTCGTAGAGCACCGCTCCCAAGCACCACCAATCCACTGCCCGATCGTAAGGCTCCTTACGGAGCACTTCCGGAGCCAAGTACTGTTGAGAGAAAACACACTTATTTGAAAGACACTCAGCTTCCATCTCCCCATTTGTAAACAAGGTACTTGGAGGGAAAGATCAGCAGAAGCTGATTCTGCGGTGGTATTTACTTAGCTGTGCGTGTGTTCCTTCAGCATCAGTTCATCAAAGACCTGCTTTGTGCGGGACCCTTTGCCAGTGTGTTGAGGACGTAGAGGAAATCTGGCTGGACTGCCCTGTACGGCTGTATATGTTGTGCACCACACAAAAGCACCAGCCAAAGGGTAAAGGGGGCTGCAAGCCTGGCTGTGATCAACTCACCAAACCATAACCCTAGTACAAGACAGTGGATCTCTAGCAACTTGTGTGCATGTGTGCTAAGTTGCTTCAGTCATGCCTGACTCTTTGCGATGGACTGTAGACCGCCAGGCTCCTCTGTCCATGGGATTCTCCAGGCAAGAATACTGGAGTGGGTTACCATGCCCTCCTCCAGGAGATCTTCCTGACCGAGGGATCAAACCACATCTCTTATGTCTCCTGCATTGGCAGGCAGGTTCTTTACCACTAGCTGCACTTAGGAATCCCCATCCAGCAACTCACATATGTTTAAAGGGAAAACTTGGGACTTCCCTGGTGGTCCAGTGGTTAAGAATTCACCCGCCAGTGCAGAGGACACAGGTTCAATCCCTGGTCCAGGAACTAGGATCCTACATGCCACAGGACAACTAAGACTATATGCCACAACTACTGAGCCCATGTGCCCTAGGGCCAGGGCTCTGCAACAAGAGAAATCACCCCAATGAGAAGCCCAAGCACCACAACGAAGAGTAGCCCCTGCTTGCTGCAACTAGAGAAAGCCCATGCCCAGTAATGAGCAGCAGCCAGAAATAAAATAAAATACAAAATAAATAAATGGAAAACATATTCTAATTAGTCTGCCCAAAGGGAGTGCCTTTAATTTGCTCAAAAGCATCCAAGTGATGTCTTGGAATGAGGAGAGCCCTGGGGATACTCACAGGGCAGTGGGAAGACTCACAGATGAAGTGTAAGTCAGTGTGGCCCATCTTTGCACGGGTAACCTTAGTAACAGAGAGATGGAAAGGAGTCGGGAAAGAGGAGGTGGCATTTTAGCTCCTACTGACAGCTGAATGTGTGCTGTGTATCTGCACCTCGCTCAGGTGGAGAACCTGAGGCAGAATTGTGCTTCCTGCAGACCCGAGGGCTTGGGAACCTCTTAGACTGGGGTCTCTACCACCAAAGAAAGAGCCCTCAGCAGCAGACCAAGGCACACTGAGAGACTGCATGGGTGTGGAGAGGGGCAGGGAGTTCCCAGGACTAGTCCTGTGAAATGAAAAGACGCTTACTCCTTGGAAGGAAAGTGATGAGCAACCTAGACAGCATATTAAAAAGCAGAGACATTACTTTGTCAACAAAGGTCCATCTAGTCAAGGCTATGGTTTTTCCAGTGGTCATGTATGGATGTGAGAGTTGGACTATAAAGAAAGCTGAGTGCCAAAGAATTGATGCTTTTGAACTGTGGTGTTGGAGAAGACTCTTGAGAGTCCCTTGGACTGCAAGGAGATCCAACCAGTCCATCCTAAAGGAGATCAGTCCTGGGTGTTCATTGGAAGGACTGATGTTGAAGCTGAAATTCCAATACTTTGGCCACCTGATGCAAAGAGCTGATGCATTGGAAAAGACCCTGATGCTGGGAAAGATTGAGGGCAGGAGGAGAAAGGGACGACAGAGGATGAGATTGTTGGATGGCATCACTGACGCAATGGACATGGGTTTGGGTGGACTCCGGGAGTTGGTGATGGACAGGGAGGCCTGGCGTGCTGCGGTTCATGGGGTTGCAAAGAGTCAGACACGACTGAGCGAATGAATTGAACTGAACTGAGTCCCACTGAATGTGTGGTCCCAAGCAGGTCATTGAACCTCCAAGAATTTTGGTGTCCTTATCCCACATAGAGAGGATCAGAGGGCAGACAGACTGAAACTACAATCACAGACAACTAGCCAATCTGATCACGCGGACCACAGCCTTGTCTAACTCAATGAAACTAAGCCATGCTGTGTGGGGCCACCCAAGACGGCCAGGTCATGGTGGAGAGGTCTGACAGAATATGGTCCACTGGAGAAGGGAATGGCAAACCACTTCAGTATTCTTGCCTTGAGAACCCCATGAACAGTATGAAAAGGTGAAAATATAGGACAAGAAGAACTCCCCAGTTCGGTAGGTGCCTAATATGCTACTGGAGATCAGTGGACAAATAACTCCGGAAAGAATGAAGGGATGGAGCCAAAGCAAAAATAACACCCAGTTGTGAATGGGACTGGTGATGGAAGCAGGGCCTGATGCTGTAAAGAGCAATATTGCATAGGAACCTGGAATGTTAGGTCCATGAATCAAGGCAAATTGAAAGTGGTCAAACAGGAGATGGCAAGAGGGAACATCGACATTCTAGGAATCAGTGAACTAAGATGGACTGGAATGGGTGAATTTAACTCAGATAACCATTATATCTACTACTGTGGGCAGGACTCCCTTAGAAGAAATGGAGTAGCCATCATAGTCAACAAAAGTGTCCAAAATGCAGTACTTGGATGCAATCTCAAAAACGACAGAATGAGCTCTGTTCATTTCCAAGGCAAACCATTCAACATCACAGTAATCCAAGTCTATGCCCCAACCAGTAATGCTGAAGAAGCTAAAGTTGAACAGTTCTATGAAGACCTACAAGACCTTCTAGAACTAACACCCCAAAAAATGTCCTTTTCATTATAGGGGACTGGAATGAAAAAGTAGGAAGTCAAGAAACACCTGGAGTAACAGGCAAATTTGGCCTTGGATTACGGAATGAAGCAGGGCAAAGGCTAATAGAGTTCTGCCAAGAGAACACACTGGTCATAGCAAACACCCTCTTCTAACAACATAAGGGAAGACTCTACACATGGACATCACCAGATGGTCAACACTGAAATCAGGTTGATTATATTCTTTGCAGCCAAAGATGGAGAAGCTCTATACAGTCAGCAAAAACAAGACCGGGAGCTGACTGTGGCTCAGATCATGAACTCCTTATTGCTAAATTCAGACTGAAATTGAGGAGAGTGGAGAAAACCACTAGATCATTCAGGTACGACCTAAAATAAACCCCTTATGACTATACAGTGGAAGTGAGAAATAGATTTAAGGGACTAGATCTGACAGAGTACCTGATGAACTATGGATGGAGGTTCATGACTTTGTACAGGAGACAGGAATCAAGACCATCCACAAGAAAAAAAATGCAAAAAGCAAAATGGCTGTCTGAGGAGGCCTTACAAATAGCTGTGAAAAGAAGGGAAGCAAAAAGCAGAGGAGAAAAGGAAAGATATACCCATTTGAATGTACAGTTCCAAAGAATAGTCAGGAGAGATAAGAAAGCCTTCCTCAGTGATCAATGCAAAAAAAATAGAGGGAAACAATAGAATGGGAAAGACTAGAGATCTCTTCAAGAAAATTAGAGATACCAAGAGAATATTTCATGCAAAGATGGCCTCAATAAAGGATAGAAATGGTAGGGACCTAACAGAAGCAGAAGATATTAAGAAGAAGTGGCAAGAATACACAGAAAAACTGTACAAAACAAATCTTCAGGACCCAGATAATCACGATGGTGTGATCAATTACCTAGAGCCAGACACCCTGGAATGTGAAGTCAAGTGGGCCTTAGAAAGCATCACTATGAACCAAAGCTAGTGGAGGTGATGGAATTCCAGTTGAGCTATTTCAAATCCTGAAAGATGATGCTGTGAAAGTGCTGCACTCCATATGCCAGCAAATTTGGAAAACTCAGCAGTGGCCACAGGACTGGAAAAGGTCCATTTTCATTCTAATCCCAAAGAAAGGCAATGCCAAAGAATGCTCAAACTACCGCACAATTGCACTTATCTCACACGCTAGTAGAATAATGCTTAAAATTCTCCAAGCCAGGTTTCAGCAATATGTGAACTGTGAACTTCCAGATGTTCAAGCTGGTTTTAGAAAAGGCAGAGGAACCAGAGATCAAATTGCCAACATCCGCTGGATCCAATGATCTGCTGGATCATCGAAAAAGCAAGAGAGTTCCAGAAAAACATCTATTTCTGCTTTATTGACTATACCAAAACCTTTGTGTGGATCGCAATAAACTGTGGAAAATTCTGAAAGAGATGGGAATACCAGACCACCTGACCTGCCTCTTGAGAAACCTGCATGCAGGTCAGGAAGCAACAGTTAGAAGTGGACATGGAACAACAGACTCGTTCCAAATAGGAAAAGGAGTACGTCAAGGCTGTATATTGTCACCCTGCTTATTTAATTTATATGCAGAGGACATCATGAGAAGCGCTGGGCTGGAAGAAGCACAAGCTGAAATCAAGATTGCCAGGAGAAATACCAATAACCTTAGATATGCAGATGACACCACCCTTATGGCAGAAAGTGAAGAGGAACTAAAAAGCCTCTTGATGAAAGTGAAAGAGGAGAGTGAAAAAGTTGGCTTAAAGTTCAACATTCAGAAAGCTAAGACCATGGTATCTGGTCCCATCACTTCATGGCAAATAGATGGGGAAACAGTGGAGACAGTGGCTGATTTTATTTTTCTTGGTTCCAAGATCACTGCAGATGGTGATTGCAGCCATGAAATTAAAAGATGCTTGCTCCTTGGAAGGAAAATTATGACCAAACTAGACAGCATATTAAAAAGCAGAGACCTTTGTCAACAAAGGTCCATCTGGTCAAGGCTATAGTTTTTCCAGTGGTCGTGTATGGATGTGAGAGTTGGACTATAAAGAAGGCTGAGTGCTGAAGAATTGATGCTTTTGAACTGTGGTGTTGGAGAAGACTCTTGAGAGTCCCTTGGACTGCAAGGAGATCCAACCAGTCCATTCTAAAGGAGATCAGTCCTGGGTGTTCATTGGAAGGACTGATGCTGAAGCTGAAACTCCAATACTTGGCCACCTGATGAGAAGAGCTGACTCACTGGAAAAGACCCTGATGCTGGGAAAGATTGAGGGCAGGAGGAGAAAGGGACGACAGAGGATGAGATGGTTGGATGGCATCACCAACTTGATGGACACGGGTTTGGGTAGACTCCGCGAGTTGGTGATGGACAGGGAGGCTTGGCATGCTGCGGTTCATGGGGTCACAAAGAGTCGGACACAACTGAGCAACTGAACTGAACTGAACTGAACTGATCCCACATAATGGAACTGCAGAATCTCTCCCTAGGGACTGTGTTAAGGACACAGATGAGGAACTTTCTTGGTGGTCCCGTGGCTAAGAGTTCTCCTTCCGATGCAGAGGACGCGGGTTCGATCGCTGGTGGGGGAACTAAGATCCTACATGTTGCAGGGCATCTGAGCCTGCCCACTGCAGCAAGAGAAGCCCCCTCACTGCAACTAGACAAAGCCCATATGCTGCAACAGAGAGCCAGCGCAGCCACACACACATAAAAAAGACACAAGCTAATGTATGTGTTGGCCCTTGAACAACTGTGAATGACTGAGCAACGGTGATATCTCTCGTCTGTGCTCCCCGGCACCCTGGCAGTGCCTGAGCCATGCAAGAGATGAGCTGTTAGAGCCGCACGTCTCCTACATGGCCCATCTGTTCCTGGCAGTATCAAGAGAAGGGGTGGTTGGGCTGGCAGGGCTTTGGGAGGCTGGCTCTGTCCAGTGAACACCCTTCCGGACCCAAACGCAGACAACTACTCCTGGTTAGAGAGGTTATCTGTCCACTGGCTCTCCTAAAACCAAACAGAGGAGGCTCAGCTGAAATCTGAGACCCAGATGCTCAAGCACATGGAAGAAAACAAAAGCTAAAGTCTTGGGCCATGCCAGCTTGAGAGGACCCGTCAGCCCTGCAGCCTCAGACCTCCACCCCCACCCCAGACATCCGTCCAAGCAGCTGGAAACCCCTTTGGGTTCAAGGTCCAAGGTTCAACACTGGTAGAAGTTTAAGGAAAGGTTTTTAACCCCAAAGTTGCAGGGAGGCCTTGGCAGGACAAAGAGACATGTATGAATGATTGCGGAGATTCACAAATTTTAACCCTCCAGGCTCTTCGTGGCTGGAAGAAGGAGGGAGATCGGTATCTTCACGTTTGATCTTGTCAGGTCAGGCCAGGGCCTCCTATTGCACATGGACCTCACCCTGCAGGGCAGTGTTATCTAACACAGTAACCACTAGCTACGTGTGACCACCAAACAGTTGAAATGTGGCTGAGCTAAGCTGAGAGGGACAGGAAGTGTAAAATGCACACAGGATCAAAGACTTAGTTAGAAAAAATAAAACAAAGTATTTCAACAATTTTATATTGACATGATACTATTTTGTATTGCTGTTGTTTAGTCGCTAAGTCATCTCTGACTTTTTTTTTTTTACATGCTGCATTTTTTTTTTGGCTGCATTGGGTCTTAGTTCCCTAAGGGATCTAGTTCCCTAACCAGGGATCGAACCCACGCCCACTGTATTGGGAGCCCAGAGTCTTAGCCACTGGACCACTGGGGATGTCCCACATGCTGGTTTTTTTTTTTTTAATTATCAAAGATTACAACTGTACAATATTGAGAAGTACAGAACAAAATACTATTATTGGAGGACAATTGCTCTACAATATTGTGTCTGACTCTTTCTATCCCATGGACTGCAGCCCACCAGGGTCCTCTGTCCATGGGATATCCCAGGTAAGAATACTGGACTGGGTTTCCATTTCCTCCTCCAGGGGATCTTCCCAACCCAGGGTTCAAACCTGCATCTCCTGCATTGGCAGGTGGATTCTTTACCACTGAGCCCCCCGGGAAATCCACTATTTTGCATATGTTGGGTTAAATAAAATGTATTATTAAAATTGATTTCATCTATTTCTTTTTGAGTGTGGATTGCTGGAAATTTAAAAATTGCATATATGATTTGCATTTCTGTTTCTGTTTCTGTTGGACAGCACTGCTGCAGAGGCTCAAAGCCAGGTCCCAGAAACCCCCGGAGCTGGTCCACCCATGACACAGATGAGGAAACCAAGGCTCTGGGCGCAGTCAGCTCAGGGGAAGCGCGGGTGGAGGCAGTGAACCCCTCTGCTGTAATCTGGTGGCTCTAGTCAGGAGCCATGGCCTCACCCACTTCCTGCCTCACCCCCCCCCCAGGAGGTTTAGCTTACCTCGGGGGTCCCACAAAACGTGGATGTGGTCTCCTCGGGCTCTACACCCTCCTTGCAGAGGCCAAAGTCTGTCAGCACCACGTGTCCCTGTAGAGGAGGGAGGGCAGGGTGGGAGGATGATCTGAGCCAAAGGGATGGCCAGGTCTAACCCTAAAGCACAGATGCCGCCTGCGGGTCATAGCCGTGGGCTCTGTGTCCCCAGCACAAGCCCGAGCTGGAGGCTCCACTCACTCTGTGCTTCTAACCTGGACACCAAGCACAGCACAGGGGTGAGGAGATGGCCTCGCGCTGTCGGCCCCCAGCTCATCTCAGACTCACGTCCACACCCAGCAGTTCCAGAATGTCCTTGCTGGAGGGGCCTGGTGGCAGCAGCCCCCTTAACGGAGGACGGGGTCCGAGAGGGTGAACACACTTTGTGGCTGGGCGAGAGGGTGGCTGGTGGAGGTCGTGATGTGAGTGGATACTGCCGGGCTCTGCCCAGACCCCCTGTTTAGGAGCTGTCCTGCCCGCCCCCTATGCTGGACCGTTGATTTCACCCAAAGTCATGCCCCTCTCAAGGGGCAATCCCCATCTGATGACTGGCCAGTACAGTGACACAGATGCCCGCATCCTTGCCTCACTTTGGAAGAGTCCTAGAGAACCATCCCAGCTTGGGTGCACCCCACCCCTGAAAAATCAGCTGAGGTCTCACTTGCAGCCACAGTGCAGGTGTGGTTCTTCCTCTGCTCAAACCTGCCTGTCACCCCTTAAATGTGTTCCCCAATAACCTTCGGCACCCCATACTCCATTTCAGAGTCTATTTCCAAGGAACTCAGTCTAAGACATGGAAGCACTACAAAATCCTCCAGCCTCTGTGTAACACTACCCCTGCCCCACCACAGGCCTCATATACACACATGCACACACAAGTACATGTACATCCATGTACACACAGCAAACATTTACGTGCATGTACACAGTCATAGGCACACATGCACAATGCATGCACATACACATATTCTTGGGCACACAGCATACATGTGCAACTATGTGCATGCACACACACACACACACACACACACACACACACTAACCTGGCAGTCCAAGAGAATGTTTTCTGGTTTCAGGTCCCTGCAGACATTGAAAGAAAAGGGTGCTGTGATATAGAAGCCATGCTGCCCCTCCTCCTTAGACAGAGGACCAAATTCACCCGGATTTCATCGGGATCTAGGGATCCACACACCCCCCTGGCTGTTGGGGCGGAAGGGCCAGGCCTGGCTCTGCACCACAGGCAGGCCTCACCTGTAAATGATGTTGAGGGAGTGCAGGTAGCCAATGGCGCTGGCCACCTCGGCGGCGTAGAACCGGGCCCGGGGCTCAAGGAACCGGCGCTCCCGCTGCAGGTGGAAGAAAAGCTGGAGGGGGAGGAGCCGTGTGAGTGGGTTCCTGGGGGGCTCCTGCTCCTCAGATGCAGGGTTGGAGGCAGCTGGGCAAGTCACCCCTTCTCTAGGCTCCAACGCCCTCATACAAGGAAGGGCATGCCGGCCCCCACCTTACAGAGCTGGCGAAGTGTCAGCAGCAAAGGTGAATCAACAAGAATGGAGCCCCTACTGTGTGCCAGGCTCCAGTCACATCCTAATACATCTCTACTTTTCTTTTATCCTCCTGACTACCTTCCAGGTTTCAACTAGGAGGCCAGTTTCACGGAAAAGGAAACTGGAAGTGTCAGAGCAGCCAGGTGACTTGCCCAAGGTCACGGACTATAACTGGCAGAGCCAGGATTTGAAACTGGGTGGGTCAGACATGTGCTTTTCCTTTAACCCACGTGATAAAATGATTATGTTGGTCAAACTGAGTCCAGGTTAGATCTGTCCCTGGGCCAGTTGCTTCCGTCTATTTTACTGGCAAAGAAAAGTCCGTCACCTCCACCAGGGAATTTAAGGATGGAGGACACAAAACTTCTCTCTTGGCATCAGGCTACGGAGCATGAGGTCACACTGGTTAAATCTGGGGTCACTGAGAAGGGCCATCTTGCTCAGAGAGACAGAGGAGGGAGCCCAGCTTTCCCCAGCTGTGCTTCTGGGTCACCAGGTGGCCCCAGATCACAACCACAGGGACTGCTCACTCCCATGCTGTGGTCTATGGTGTAAAATGGGTAAAATTAGAACTACTGAACACAGAGCTCCTCTAACTTTGACCTTTCCCAGGTTCACTGAAGGGATTCTGGGCAGCTTTGTGTGGGAGTCAAGAAATGAAAATGGCTGGGAGTCAGACAGACCTGTCTTCAAATCCTGGCTCTGCCAACTGCATGCAGGGTAGCCTTGAGTCAGTGAGTTACCTCCCTGAGCCTCAGTCTTTTCAGCTGCAAAATGGGTCGGGGGTAAGGATGAGGGGAGATCATTCCAGAAGCTGGTGCACCGTGGGCACATGGCATGGAGAGCTCCAGGTCACCCACCTCTCCCCCGTTGACATAGTCCAGCACGAAGTAGAGCTTCTCGGAGGTCTGGAAGGAGTAGCGCAGGCCCACGAGGAAGGGATGGCGCACGTTCTTCAGGAGCACGCTGCGCTCGGCCATGATGTGGCTCTGCTGCGGAGTCACGCACACACACGCACGCACGCATGCACACACACATGCACACGCACACACATACACACACGGGTCGCATTACCACCCACGTGGCCACACTGCTCAAATACCCTCCGTGGCTCCTCACTGCCTTCAGAGCCAAGCCCGGGGGCCTTGCCTGGCATTCAGGGCTTTGCACGGTCCACGTCATCCCCCACCAGTGCAGCTGGGTGCAGCTCCAGCCCTGGGTCCAAATTCCCTGCCTCCCCCACCCCAGTGAAAGTGTTAGTCTCTCAATCATGTCTGACTCTTTCGCCGACCCTATGGACTGTAGCCCCCTCAGACACCTCTGTCCATGGAATTCTCCAGGCAAGAATACAGGAGTGGGTTGCCATTCCCTTCTCCAGGGAATCTTCCCAACCCTGGGATTGAACCCGGGCTCCTGCATTGCAGGCAGATTCTTTACCATCTGAGCCACCAGGAAAGCCTCAACAAAGCTGCGAGATGACTGAATAGATGAGTTCCAAGGACAACCTCTCAGAGAAAAGAAGGCAGGCACTACGCATATCCAGGCCTCTGATCCTGTTCCCCTGCCTAGATGTCCTCTTTTCAGATCATCAAAAGCCTATTTTCAAGGCCACCTCCTTCAGCAAGATCTGCCCCGTGAGCTCCTTTTTAACATCAGCTCCCTCTCCTGAGTCCTCTGACTTGACATTCAGTCCTTCCTTGGGGCCTGCTCTGTCCTTCTTACAGAGTTGGCGTTAAAGAGACTCGAGTCAGTGGAAGCATCTAGAATCCCTGGATGGCTGTGGCCTGAAGGGCCTTTGGCGAGCCTGAAGTGTGACCCCCACATTGCACAGGTAGGGAGGCTGGCAGTTGACAGGGCAGAGACTGGTTTGCCATGGAGCCCTGGATCTTTAGGGGAAAGGAGAGGGCCAGGACAGGGTCACCTGCAGGCCCTCCAGGTGAGGTGGTTAGCCTGCCTTCCTGGAAAAGGGCCAGCAGAACACCCAGCCCCCCTGCACTGGACTGCCTTTATGCCCAGAGTTGGACCCATCATTAGAAGCCACCTGAGGCTGGGGGTCAAGAAGCAGGAGAGGAGATGCCTGAGCCCAAGCCCTGGTACCTCTTTCTTCTTTAAGATGGACTTTTTCTGCAGCACCTTCACTGCGTAGAACATCCCGTCGGACTTGTGCTTGGCCAGTAGGACCTGAGCAGGAGGACAAATGCAGAACCCACAGGTGACTACTCCTCTGAGCTTTGGGTTTCTCAATGGTGGTGCAGACCTCCAGTTCCAGCCCCGCGCCCATGATTTTGCAGGTTGTAAGCTCCCACTTTGCACACGTGAGTGACAGTAAGGGATGGAAGGGGCTGCAAAGGGGGGAAACCCAGGTCTCCCATGCTCATAGGTCACTCACCTTCCCATAGTTTCCTTTGCCAATGACTTTGAGGAAGTCAAAGTCCGTGGGCCGGGCACTGGGGCAAGAGGAAGGAACACAGGTCAGCATTTGCCAGCTTGGGAAGCTGGGTACATTAGTTCAAATCAGGGCTTCTCTTTGAAGCTGGAGAAGGCCATGTTTTTCCATCCAAGAGGGTCTTCTCAGACTGGCCCCTGCCTCTGGGGATCTCACAATGGAGTAAACAACAGGCAAGAAGGGTAGAAAACCAAACACAACCACAGAAGGCTGGCCTCCAAAGACAGAGAAGGGCCTGGAGGGTGGGGGGCTGCTAATAATGCAGGCTTTGGGGGGATATTGCAGCCTCAGGGCTCAGCATGAGAAGAGGCTGGGGAATGAGTGGGAGATAAAGCTGGGGGCCGGTCCTGGGCTCAGATGGTAGAGGGTCTTGATGCTGAATCAGAGAATTTGGGTTCTATTCCCTAGGTGAGGGGAGCCAGGGAAGAAAGCGATTGAGAGACTGGAACTCACTTTGGGTTGGCAGAAGGCCCCAGGTTGATATTCCCGTTGGCCCTCGGGAGCTAAAGACATTTAAAGAAAGAGGCGATAAAGATCAGAGGTTCCCAACTCATTGGCCTCCTCCCTCCCCCCGGCCCAAGCCCTGCTCCCTTTTCCAATATCTCTACTAGCCTGCCTGCCCTCTTTCCTGCATCCCTTTCTCCCTTCCTTCTTTCCCTCTATCTACCAACCCACCCAACCATCCATATCTCACCTGCTTCTCATGATAGCCTTGGGAGGCTGTTGTACCAAACGTGAGGATGAGGAAACTGAGACTCAGAGAAGAGCTGTCGGAGGACTTACAGGCAGCCCCACCAGCATGAGAATACAGGTGACCTCAGAGCCAATCCCATAATTTTTCCACCTCACTTACTTCTTGAAGCCCTTGCTCAAGTGTCTTTTCTCTTTACCCTGCAAATGGCCCGATTCCATGAGCTCACAGTGATCCCGGTGGGCGCCCCAATCCTGGGACCGTCCACCTGGCTGATGAGGACCTCCCTGGGTTTCCTTGACCTTGGGAGGAAGGGATCCCCCCCCCCGGTGGTGGGTGGGGGAACCAAGATCCACCTACCTGCGGACTGGGGGTGCCAGCTGGGCTCGAGTCCATGCTGTAGCAATGATCAGGTACGCTCTGGGGACGCAAGGAGGAGCAGGATGAGGGAGGTGCCGCTGGGGAATCAGTGTCGCCTGTCTAGGGTGCTAGGCACCGCTGCTCTGTCGTTCCCTGCCTGACGCCCTGCACCTGCCCTAGGCCAACAACCCCTGCCTGGGACAAGAAATGATGTCCTCTGGGCCCAGCTTCTCCAGTCGGACATCTCAGGAGGGAAGGAGGGAGAACGGTCAGGGGTGGCCCTTCCCAGGCTGAGTCTTTTCAAGCACTGGGGATGGCCAGGGCAGCTCTGATGTCTGGGAAGGCCAAGGCTGGAAGGACTCTTGCAGGGCATAAAGTCTGGACTCTTCCTCCCATTTCAGAGGCAGGGAGCCTGAAGCCTCGAAAGGGACTTGCCTAGGGTCCCACGGCTTGTGAGGGGTAGGCTAGGCTCCCCTGGATCCCATACAGGCATGTTGCCACGCTGGATCCCTAGAGACAGCCCTGGGCTGGGTGCTGTGTTGACTATTATGTCTCTGCCACAAGGACTTCTGCCTAATGTCCCTGGAGGGGCAGCTGCCCTGGGGACCTTGGACCAGAATCACGAACAGACCCACGAGCAAGCGAGCTAAGACACTTCAGTTGTGTCCAGCTCTTTGTGACCCCATGGACTGTAGCCCTCCAGGCTCCTCTGTCCATGGAACTCTCCAGGCAAGAATACTGGAGTGGGTTGCCATGCCCTCCTCCAGGGGATCTTCCTGACCCGGGGATCGAACTTGCATCTCTCACATCTCCTGCACTGGCAGGTGGGTTCTTTACCACTAACGCCGGCTGGGAAGCCCCTGGCTGTGTCTGTTTGAGATGAAACAGTGGAGAGTGTAAACTGCGGTCTGTGCAGCTGGGAGCATATGTCTCCCCTGCCCCCTAGCCTGCATGGTGGAAGATGCTTATATGTCCAGGCCCTGGCTCGGCAAGCCTAGGACCCCATAGCCCCACCCTAGACTGGGAGATCAAGTCCAGGAACTCAGATTGCTCTCAGGGACTGCAGGGTACTGCGCCTCCTGAGACCACAGCTTTGGCCTGTGTGGTGGCCTGGTGGTGCTGTAGAGACCACCCATTTTTACAAGGGGGCCCTGGAGCAACCACCCCCTGGTCTTCTTGGGAGCTGAGAAAGTGACCATAGGGGAAGAGAGGGAATTCTCCCTGTCTTCTCCAGGCTACTCTGGGAGGCCAGCCCCACGGAGCCCTGAGAAGGTGAGCCGCAGAGCTGCCCAAATACGGAGCATAGCCTGGCTTCAGCCAGTGCCCCGAGTCTACACTCCTGCAGCCCACATCCCTCCTGGCCCGGCCCTGGCAGCCCCTCTGCCAGACCCTTGCCTCCCCAGCCCCACGTACCTGCACAGCCTGCGGAGAGGCCACTGGGAGAAGCCGTGGTGGGAGCTGGAGGGTGGACAGTGGACAAGAAGCCCTCTCTGTTCTCCCAACAAGGGCCGAAGTGTCTGTGCCTGGCGCCGGCCCGGCCCCGGCCCCCAGCTCGGAACTCCCGGCTGCGGCGAGGGAGCTGTTGATGTCACGCGGGAGCCAGCAGAGCTTAAGAAGGGACCGAAGTCCTCTGTTCCCTCGGGGACATCGCCTCCCCCTGGGGGGTGTGGGTAGAAGGGCGTGAGCAACAGCTGCGGGAGAGCCGGAGCGATGCTGAGGCTTGTTGGAATGCACGTGAGTGTGGGGTAGGAGTGTGTGTGCAGGTGTTTCGTGCAGAGATGTGTGTCTGTCTGTCTATCTGGTGTATCAGTGTGTCCCTGTGTGTCAAGGTATTTGTGCATCAGTGTGACCATGTTTGTGTGATTTTGTCATACATCAGTGACTGGCCTGTGTGTCGATGTGCTTCAGTGAGTCTCTGTGTAGTATAGTGTGTGGACACAGCAGTGTGTACCTCTATACATGTTAACATGTGTGCATGTGTGTGTGTCTATGAATACACATGTGTGACAGTGGTCTTTGTGGGTCTGTGTTCATATCGGTGTTTATCCGTAAATCTGTGTGTGTGTGTGTGTGTGTGTGTGTGTCTGTGTGTGTGTCTGTGTGTGTGTGTAGGGGGCCTGTCTGGGAGGAGACATGTTCCCCGGGGCCTACCCAGGCCCGCTGCAGACCATCTGGGGCTGAAGATGAAGTTCAGGGACCTGGGAGCACTTTGGCTCCCAAGAACCTGCAGGTGTTTTAGGGCCTGGGTGTCTGGTTCAATCAGCCTGGCCTTGGTCTTTGCTGAACACTTGGACTTTGGGGTCCTTCCCGATGGCCCTCCAGGTTCTGACCATTGTCTCCAGAGCAGGACTGGGACCTAGCACTCTTTGCTGCAGTGCTGCAATGCTTGCACCTGGACACACCTCTCCTCTAGCAACAAAATACAAAGAAACTGTGTGGGGCTAAAAATAACTGTGTGCGTGGGCAGATGGGGCAAATTTCTGAACCCAAAGGATACAAAGAGACCAAAAAAACCAATTGCCACTTTTGAGGAGCCTGGAGCAAAAGCAGGGTACTGTGCATGCCTCCTTCACTCAATACCACTTAAGGATGGGGGCAAGATATTTAAAGTTACCCTTCCCCCACCCCTGGACACACCCCTGTGCTGTGCTTACTTGCCCCATCACATCTGATTCTTTGTGACTCCATGGACTGTAGCCCACCAGGCTCCTCTGTCCATGGGGATTCTCCAGGCAAGAATATTGGAGTGGGTTGCCATGCCCTCCTCCAGGGGATCTTCCCAACCCAGGGATCGAATCCAGGTCTCCTGCATTGCAGGCAGATTCTTTACCAGCTAGCTGGGTCACAAGAAAAGTCCAAGAATACTGCAGTGGGTAGTCTGTCCCTTCTTCAGGGGATCTGGCCAACCCAGGAATCGAATCGGGGTCTCCTGCATTGCAGGCGTATTCTTTACCAGCTGAGCTACCATGAAAGCCCTGGACACACCCCTACTCTCACCCATGTAAGGAACAAGCTTGTCCCCTACTTAAGGAATGAGCAAGCAAAAGGATCTTTTGTTTGTTCTTGCTCACCCTGCTGCAACAGGGACTCCAGAAAATCCTGCCTGAATTTCTTGCCTGGTCTCTGGTTAATTTCTATTCATTGTGAAGGTCAAGAACCCTGGTTGGTATCACCAGGAAGCAGGGTCCCCGCGGCAACCTAGCGCATGACGGCTTAGTGCAATAATCAGGCACTCACAGGGTATCTTCCTCTCTCCAGGAGGTTATACGGGGTGTTCTGGGGAATGAAGGGGTTGACAGGGACTGACATGGTCCCTGCTCTTCGGGAACTTTCTGGGTGGCTACCACATGCCACATTCAGACCTCTGTAATTCACCACAGGGTGGGGATCTGTGGAGCTGGGGCCAAGGGGGCTCGTCAGAAAGGGACCTGAGCCCAGTGGCCTTGGGGGGGTCCTCTGTGGGCTTTGATGTAGGTGGGGGGAGTCATCCAAGGAAAACCCAACTGAACAGAATCAGAGCCTTTCGTTTTTTAAGAAAATGGAAATGTTGAGCCAACACACAGATGGGTAGGATATTATGTTGACAAAACATAACGCCCGGAACAAGGTCATTCTTTTCAATGACAAGACCCTGATGCAGCCTTCATTTAGGAGCACTGCTTAGAACAGGAAATCAATAATGAAAATAATAGTAACCTCAAGGTCCAAGCATAGGGCACATTAGAATACTCGCTGACCATAATAGTTTCCTCTCTGGGACTTACATCTTGAGAGACCGTCCCATTTTCTATGTTCCCTTTTCAGTTAAACTCCTTGAAATAGTTGTCTGGACTCAGTTCCTACTCCTTCTTCCTTTCCTCTCTTGGAGCCATTCCAAAGAGGCTGTTATCCCAACATGCTCCCAAAAGAATAGACCAGTAACCTCCATGTGCCAGAGCCAGTGATGAATTCTTTGTTCTCATGTCATTCTGTGTCTCTGAGGATATGACCCCCTTTTCCCACTTGGCGTTAGGATCTGCTGGTTTTCCTCCTACTTTGCCAGTTGCTTTTTCTCCATCTTTTCTACTGGATTCCCTCTTTTTTCCCCAGAAACACTGGCCCGGCCTTTCTCTATACTTGTTCCCCAGTTGATAGCAACCAGTTTAACGGTTTTAAGTGTCGACTAAACCCCATAATTCCCAAACTCATCTCTCTAGCTCTGATACACTCCTGACTCTGGATTCTCTGACACTTCACCAGTTAGAGGTCTAGAGGCACCTCACTCTTAACATGTCCAAAATGAAAGTCCTGACTTTCATTCTTTCCACTCTCCCCAGCCTGCTCCTCCATTGACATCTATCTCCGTAATGGTACTACCACTTACTCAAAAGTTCTAACCAGCAACTAGAAATTCATCCTAGAAACTTTGCACCTTCACCCTGCTTCCACCACTACACCATAAAATCACCTTAGAGTTTACCTTCAAAATCCCACATATATGTGGGATCTAGAAAAATGGTACAGATGAGCTTATTTTCAGGGCAGGATAGAGACACAGATGTAGAGAATGGACATGTGGACACAGTGGGAGAAGGGGAGGGTGAGATGAATTGGAGGATTGGGATTGACATATATACACTACCATGTGTAAAACAGAAAACTAGGGGGAACATGCTATAAAAAGCGCAGAAAGCTCAGCTTGCTGCTCTGTGATGACTCAGGTGGGTGGGATGGGGGTAGGTAGGAGGGAGGTCCAAGAGGAAAGGGATATATGTACGCATATAGCTGACTCACTTCATCATACAGCAGAAACTAACACAACACTGTAAAGCAATTATATGCTGGATAAATAAATAAATGAAACTAAATCTATCCAGACTCTACTGCTGCAACCACCTGGCCCTGAGCCACCATCATCACTTGCATGGATTATTGCACTCACTTTCCCACTGTGTTCCTATTTCTTACTTGACCCTCTACAATTTTTCTTCACCAAAAACCAGAGTGACTCTTTATAACTGGACGTCAGATCATGTGACTTTGTTGCTCAAAAACTC